TGAATAGATATATAGTTGAAGAATTAAATTAATATTATGACACTGGGTCAAAGTAATACAAGCAAAATTAGGTTGTTTCGTACATCAAACATGATTCACAAATTGATCCTTTAGGATGTGATTTGTTTTTAACAAAATTTTAAGTTTATTTAAATATCTCTCAAAATGATACATCCATCCATTCTGAATAGGTCCACCAATTGTAGCCTTATATGATAAATGCATGGGTAGATACGCTATAGAGTTAAAAAAATATTGGATAAAACATCTTCTCAAGTTTACCCAAAATAATGGGAATATTATGCTTTATATGAATCAAGTGCTTTGCATTCAATTTTTAGTCCGATATAAATCTATATGAATTATGTTATCTATGGGATTTGTCTCTTTAAGCAGCCCAACAAACTGATTAAAATATTCACAGGAGATATTGAATTTTGTCTTGATGCTTAACATCTTCAAATCAATATATAACTCTGAGTGAGTAGTGCACCTCTTAAAAATTGGTTGCTGAGCAGCGTGCAACAAATTATAGAAGTATGAGCCTATTTATTTGGTGACTCTTTTGTATATTATTCAAATTATGTGTCAGCTAAATCATAAGCTAAGTCCTCTAGTATTTGAATATTTTATTCATTGGCTATATTAGAACTTGTAGGCGAGTCACAATTAGAAGCTAAATATGACTCATACTCATCATGAGAAGTCTAATACTAATATTTTGGCATAAATCCTCTATGATATAGATTAACAATTACCTCATATGGTGTTTTTTTTTTTTTTTTTTTTTGAACACATAAATTGAAAACCTTCCATCCAAGAGAAAGCTAGACAGTTGACAGGCCGTGTGGATAAAAAATTTTACCCCATTACTGAACTCATCTATTAATGTTTTTTTTTTTATTATTGAGTCAAACAATTATGCAACCAACTTCTTTAATTCCTAATATCCATAATATGAAGAATTTATCCTACACATGCATGTAATTCATAATGATTTGCAAATTGACCTAGAGTATGTATGGATAGAATTCAAAATGATTTGCAAATCGATCTAGAGTATGCATTTTTCTTGGCATTAATGGCATTGGCATGGAGTTTTCATATGGAAATTTATCATAATAAATTAATAATATTAATAACCACATCAAGACTTTATCCATATGTGGGATCGGCAACAAGAATCATTTTTATTATTATGTGCGATCTGGTTAAGAGTCAAACTCTCATAACCGGGTCATCAGAAGCCTGATGTTTTATGTGACCAAATCATTTAAGGTGACTTTTTATAATCCTAACTATTATTGGAGCTAGTCTAAACTTTTCATGTATATACACTGTTTGAAGACTATCCTGCAAAGGTTAGAGTAAAGAGAAAGCAAGTATAAGCAGTAGAGAAGAAGACCAATGTGGATTTTCTTAACCATCGTTTTTACAGTAGTTGTTGTATATATAGAGTTGTTTTGATAAGGTTAGTTGTGTTGCAGAGGAAGGCTGCCAAAGGCCTTTGGAGGACAGCGGCAGGGTGCAGATGGCAGGCATTCGTGGAAATGATTTCTCTGGTATGTTGTGTCGCTGGTCCACATTATGATCTGCTAACATTGTTCTCATTCTATCCTTAATAGTAAAGCCACTCATCCACCTGATCATCTTCATCTCTGCAACACTTAAATTAATTGTATGCTTCTATTTTAACGGCTAACATTCTACGCCACAAAAGCATTATAGGTATACAATCATCTTATCCCTTAAGTTTGAGTGGTAAATTTTTGTCGCAAAATAAAATGGTGAAAAAACTTACCGAGATACCATATAATCGCAGACGAGACGGTCGAAGAATACACCACGACGAGGCGACAAATGGCGGCGTACAACTACTGCACGACGAGGCAGTGAACGGCGGTAGCAAACCACGGGCGATGACTCACGTGAATGGGAGCGGCGAATGAGAGGTAGGGAGAAAATACGAGCATATAACAGTGAATGGCTGGATTTGGTAGAATCTCCAATGGCATTTTCACTTGAAATAAGTCGTTGGGTTTAAATAACTCACTGATATTCTGCCGGTAGTTTCACCGAAAATATTTGATGCAATTTACACTAGTGACTTTTGTCGGTTTAAAATTACTATTAGCCTGTCCGGCGGATTGGCTGCCAGAAACTTACTGGCGGTATGTATGTCAGAAAATTTCAGGCGAAAATAACGCAAGTTTTTTCGCTGATATTTTCAACGGACGTGTACTCATTGAAAATGCTGCCAAAAATTAAGATATATATATATATATATATATATATATATGACGTGATATGCATAACACTAGACATATTGATATATGACATTATATGATAGATATAATAATACACTTAACATGATATATAGATGATGATGCTAACATGCGTTGATAACTAATAGAACATAAACCTATGGCATTGATACCAAGATCATCTAGAAATGCACTGATAATTGATAAGATTATATTCATTAATATTATAACATTTCATAGGGAATTTTACGTGTCATATTAGGATATGATTTAGTTAGGGATTTTCATATTGATATGTATGAAAATTTCTGTTTTAGCATATGAATTTTAGGTGTCATATTAGGAGTTTTACTATTCATATGGATTGATGTATATTCATACTAATTGTCACATGTTAACATATATATGATCTAAATTATTACATTTACATTATTTATACTTCAATGTGTTTATTGCAATTGTAGGTTTTGATGATCTACTATGTTGTTGGCTCGTAATGTGGTTTACATATTTCAGGGTACGTTTTACATATTTCAGGGTAGGGTAAGGACCCAGTAAAGTGAGGATTGATCCAGATTTGATTATTATAGATATTTTAATTTCTATTTTTTATTTATTCTATCATGAATATTTTGGAATAGATTGATGTGAGTAACATTATTCATGACTATTGTGTAAGATTCTTTTGAGACTCGAAATGTATATTTATATGTTTTTATGGTAAATTAAAGGGTTGTTTCTACTATATTATTTTTTATATGAATATTATTAGTGGCTATGGATTTGTAATTAGAAGATTAGAATGTACAATTCTTCTAAATTAGATATTGGGTTGTCATAGCTTTATGGTGCAAAATATTGGCTTTTAAAAGTGAAGCATAAAATTAAGTGTTGTCGAGATGAGAATTCTCAAGCGGATGAGTGGTTTTACATTCAGTGACAGAATGTGCAATGAGTATATACATGAAAATGTTGGAGTAGCTCAAGTGACAGATATGATTAGAGAGTTTGCCATAGATGGTTTGGTCAAATACTTTCATGTGATTCGTCTAAGAGCGTAGATGTATTAGATCCAGCATATATTAACAAAGCTAGACATAAACTTAAAAATTTTTTATTAGAAATAATTGGAAATTACATTATTTTATTAGATATAAATAAGAATTTGACTTTTAGTAGTTAATAAAAGGGAAAAATACCCATGTAGCCCATCACATGTCATGAGTGTCTTGATGATGTTGTTTGTGTCTTTTTAAGTATAAATTTAGATTTAGGAGCTAGTTGATTGAAGTACTTTAGGGTGTAAAGTATTCCAAATGCATAAGTTTTAAAATATTTGGTGTTTGGTTGGAATACTTTGGATGAAAAAGGAATTCAAAGTAATATGAAATGTGTGGTGTAAACCTTCCTAGTTTTTTTTTTTGTTTTTTGAGGTAAAGCAAACTCGTCAAGTTTTGAGCGAGAATACTTTACACTGCAAGCAAGCTCGCTTGACTACCGTCGACCACCACCACCGGTGTAATATCAAAAATCTGCTCCAGGATCGTCCAGGAACCTCCACCTGCCTTAAGCCACCATTGTTGGCTCCCATTGACTAGGGTTGAAAGTGAGCCAAACGTTCGACGAGCTACTCGTTGCTCGGTTTGATTAAAGCTCGTTTGTGATCGTTTAATTAACTAAACAAACAAAATTGAACAACATTTTAAATACTCGACCCTTAAATAAACAAGCTTGAACACTAATGTGCTCGGTTCATTTATGTTCACGAACATCATCATTTGGAGCTCATGAACAAGCTCGACATTAAGCTCGATAAGAAACTAGATAAAAGCTCGCTAAAAATATATTCATATAGATCATATTTTCATTTTAAATATACATCTGCTTTTATTATAAATGAATTTCATTTTATACCTTCAATAGAATGAATTTGTTCATGAACAAGTAACATTTTACATTTATCCATATTTGTTAAATTGTTTGTTTAAGATGTTCGTGAACAAATTTAAGGTTTGTTTGCTCAATAGATTGTTTGCTAAATATGTTCACGAACATAGCTCGTTAAGGTTTGTTTGTTTAAAGCTCGATAAACACTAAACAAACCAAATATGAACCAAACTAAACACCGATGAATTAAACAAACCAAACATGAACCCAAACAATAAAGCTCGAATCAAACATGAACTGAACTTGAACAAGGTAATAATAAACGAACTCAAACATGAACACTCGCATACTCGGTTCGTTTGCAGCCCTACCATTGACACCACCCAATGATGACCACCGCCGTGATCCCTGGTGCCGACTGCCTCCCACCCCCGCCACCCTCCGACCACCATTATCATGTTCGCCGGCCACCACCACTACCACCCATTAGCCACCACCATCGTTGCCGCCACGATTCGTCCAACACCTCCATCCATTACTGTCGTCTGCCATCCACCATCACCACTGCGCATAGCTGGCTGCCGTGCACCCGCTGACACCAACCACTGTTGGCCATCCCCGCCAGTCTTCTTTGTCGCACGCCGTCGCCGCTCTCCAACGTCAGCCAACAACCACCTAGGCACAACTATTTTATATTTTACATTAAATTCAATTTACTTAAAATCAAATAAATAATAAATAAATTCATATATTTTTTTACATTCATCCAAATAATTTTAAATAATTTTTTTAAGCTGTGTTTTATTTACCCAGTTAAATTTATTGGCAATATACACTTGTTGCCACGACAGTTGACCTAATATCCTTCCGCATGAAGAAAGCCGCCAAATTCCGCCATGGAAACTGCAGTGTGAAATCGGACTGCGTAACTGCGGTGATTAATTTTGCAGGAAAAAGCCCTTCATATAAGAGAGCTTTACGTGTGAAGTTGCAAGCTCGTTCTCCGATCTTCTCCTCCACCTCTTCAACCGTCCGCTAATCCTAATACCCTCGTCCCCTGAACCTAACTCCTTCGACGGACATAGGTTTTCCACCTCCGTCCCGCCTTCTCAGACTGGTCAGGGCTTTTCTTTCTCCCATTTCTTCCGCTTTGCTCACGCCAGTTCACTGATAGATTTTTTCAGGTTGTCCAAACCTGCACCCACGCCCTAGACCTTGCCTCAAAAGTTCAATTCATCCGCCGGAGCTAGGTTATTACCTCTCTGGCGGCCATGACGGTCTACGAAAATTGGGAGCGTCTCGTGCGGGCGACGCTGCAGAGGGAACAGCTTAGGAGCGCTGGCCAGAGGCCTGGCCAGTCCGCATCGGGGCTCGCTGGAGCCGTTCCTCCGTCCCTCGGCCGGGCCGCTAACATCGATGCAATCCTGCAAGCTGCAGATGAAATTGAGGATGTGGACCCCAATGTTGCGAGGATCCGTAAGTGATCTCCTTGTCCAGCTTCTATGTCGTTACACTAATGTGTCATTTCTTGATTATATAAGCTTTAAAAACTCACAGGTTATATCCTCTAAGAACCTTGGTTGGGTGAGATTCGCAACCCCAATTCTGGATTGTAAAACCTGATAACCCTATTTGTGATCATGGCAGAAGATGGCATTGTTAACGCTCAATACCACTACTACTGCCATTTCTTCTACCGCTGCTGCTACCCTAACTTCTCACATTATAATTGCCAAAATACCTGTTTTAAGATTCTTGGTTGGGATTACGTAAAGGGGTAGGACTAAATCAACCATGCCCGAACTCCACCATTTCTACTACTTAAACTCGTACTGTTTGATTGCTTACAGTTTCTTCTAGATTCTTGTTTTGGTTTGACGTAAAAGGGATGTTATGACCGCACTAAAAGTCATGGTTGTGAAACAAATGATCCCAAAGTCTGAACCATATTAGATTGTTCCTTCCAAAGAATTTCAATTTCTATGCCAGAAAACAATTATATTTAGATTATTAAATCAAATTCAACCTCTTATGTTACTATTTCCATTAATTTTTACTATTACTATCATATTCTTCATTTTGTTATGAGATATAGGCTAATATGGGCTCTGCTAAGTCAACTATTACTAACTCACATGTATCCATAGCCCAATTGGCTTTGATTAATTGATGTATAGCTAATCTCCCACTATTTATATTTTATAGCAAACTTCTTAAATGAACAATGTTGTGAATAGAGGGTATTTTGAGTTTTTATTTGTGGTATATTATAATTTCATTATCATCTTGATCATCATTGCCATGAGAATTTGTTTAATTCTAATTTCATTTTCTTAATTGGTTAATCATCATATATTGGCACTACATAAGAGCTGTAGAGTTGTTAGTTTGAAGTGCCTGATACTTGTTATAACTTATGCCTTTTTTATGGGGCCGATTCCATCTAATTTAACACATTAGCACATTAAAAAGAATGAATACTAGTTGACTACTATAGCAATGACTTTCATTGAAAAGAGACATTGGAAGAATATTTTGTCTTCCACTAGATTTAGATTAATTGTGTTTCTCCTATATGTTTCAAAAGAGAAAAATAATTTTGAGAGTTCTTTCATTGATTCTTGAGATGTTTGTGTTCTTCCAATACAAGAATCTAACTGGAGTCCAAACTAACGGAGGATCTGATTGGGAAGAAAGTGGGGATACTCTTTGCAAACATTTGAAAGTTTATATGAGATCAAGAAGTTATTCAGAGAGAAAATTAGCAACTAACTGTAGTTTCATTTTTGTATCCTTGAGCTATTGCAGTTGAGGTTTATGATTATAGATTTATAGTATGTCACAATATAACTATATGTATGCTCTCCCATGTGCCCCTATGCGTCTTTCTCTTTGGCTTCAAAGGGCTATGTGTTTTTCATGTTCACTACCGTGTGCCTTTTAGCATGTGTTTTTATGTGGTTACGAGTGACTTCACTAAAGTAGTTTTAAATTTTCATTGCTATATTTGATTTTCTATTCAGTGTGTGAGCAAGCATATAGTATGTCACAAGATTTGGATCCAAACAGTGAGGGCAGGGGTGTACTTCAGTTCAAGACTGGTTTGATGTCAGTCATTAAGGTATTACATTCGGCCAACCTGGCTGGCCATTTGTGCTTATCATTTATTTGTTTGAAGAATACATTTGTTTTTTGAATCATATGCTTTCTTGTTATTGCTTCAAAGATTTTTATGGAATTATTACAGCAAAAGCTTGCAAAGAAAGATGGTACTACATTTAATCGTCAACATGACATTGAACACTTGTGGAAATTTTACCTAAACTATAAAAGGAGGTATCAAGTTGAAGATATCCAGAAGGAGCAGCAAAAGTTGAGGGAGTCCAGAATCTTCACTGGAGAGTATGCACTTCTTTTGTTCTATTGATCGTGTTTATTTGAAACCATAGCATAACTACTTGGTAAATTAACTTTGATTATTTATCTAGAAGAATGAATGCAATCTGACACAATGAAGATATACATTATTCTGTAAGGGCATAACTCATAGCTAACTAAATTGCATGTTGGCTTTCAAATTGTTGTTTTATGAGGGTATGTATGACTGCTTAAAGCTTTCAAGACATCTTATGAGCAAATAAAATTATTGCCGTTTGCAACTTAGTCAAATTCAGCATTGAATTGTGGTTTTAAAAATGGTTATCAGAATTCTCAGTCTTGGTAATATTGTCCCTATCTGAATCCTCCAAGCTTCAATTTTTTGATAATTAGGAAAAAATAATGTCACAAGTATGATTTATGTTCCAATGTATATTATTTTAATACAAATAATTTTTGTGTCATTTGTAATATGTTGTCTATAATGTCTCACTCTGTCCAATTTTTTCCTATTAATTATAGTGTAGGTCCCCTGGCAATTTATGCATATTTTTAAATAAGTGTATAGTTGTATTATTTCTGTTCAAACAACTCAAGTTTCCTGAAGTTGTTCTTTTTTTTTTTTCTTGGTCATAAAGCTTCATTTTGATACATGAAGGATGAAGCAGAGTGATAGGATTATGTGCTAGTTTAGGATTTGAAATACAGCAAGAGTAAATTGTTTTGAATTGAACCATTTTTTTTTTTTTTTGAGTATTCAAGTGCCTTTTTTAATGAAAATAGAGAATTTTGTTTTATCGGCGTATTACTAAAATTGAAGTTAGAGAGGCTTTAAAGAAAATGAAGTGTGGGAAAACTGTTGGACATGATGATATTCCAATAGAGGTGTGGAAATACTTAGGAGATGAAGGAATTTCTTTGCTTACTAAACTTTTTAATATTATATTGAAAACTAAAAAGATGTCAAATGTGTGGAGAATGAGTGTGTTGATTTATATCTTTAAGAATAAAGGTGATACACAGGATTGTGCAAAGTATAGAGGAATTAAGTTGATGTGTCATACTTTAAAACTATGAGAGAGAGTTATGAAGCATATATTATGATTTATGACGTGATATTATTGTTTCTCAAAATCAATTTGGATTCATGTTGGGTAGGTCTACTATAGAAGCCATACATTTATTGAGAGGTTTGATGGAGAATTATAGAGAGAAAAAGGAAGATCTTCATATGATATTTATTGATTTAGAGAAAGCATATGATAAATTTTCAAGAGAAGTGCTATGGAGAGTTCTAAAAAAGAAAGGGATTAATAATGCTTATATTCAAGTCATTAGGGATATGTATGCTGGAGTTGTTACTTGTGTTCAAACACAAGGTGGTTTGACCAAGTATTTTCCAATTCCAGTTGGATTACATCAAGGATCAACCTTAATCCCATATCTTTTTTCTTTAGTCATGGATGTTCTTACTAGAGATTTGCACGAGGATGTTCCATGGTGTATGCTTTTTGTTGACGATATTCTTCTTATTGATAAGACTAAGAGGGAGTTGAAGGTAAACTTGAAATATGGAGGTGAACCTTAGGGTCTAAAGGTTTTCATTTGAGTAGATCTAAAACCGAATACATGGAGTGTAATTTTAGTAGTTATATATCTGGTGGGGGGTTTGTAACTTTGAGCGATCAAGTCATAAATAAGAGTACATGTTTTAGATATCTTGGGTCTATTGTTAAAGTGATGGTGAAATAGATCGGGATATTATTAATAAAATTTAAGTTGGATGGATGAAGTGGAGGAATGCCGACCCCACGTAGTGGGATAAAGGCTTGATGTTGTTGTTGTTGTTGTTGGATGAAGTGGAGGAATGCATCGGGCTTGTTGTTGATAGAAAAGCACCACTCAAACTTAGGAAAAATTTTATAAGATGGTGGTTAGACTTGCAATGCTTTATGATGCAGAATGTTGGCCATTAAAAGAGAAGCATAATATTAAGTTAAGTTTTGTAGAGATGAGGATGCTCGGGTGGATGAGTGACTTTTCTCAGTTAGGATACGAAATGAGCATATACGTGAATAGGCTAGATTAGCTCCAGTGGCAGATAAGATTAAAGAGAGTTGCCTTAGATGGTTTGGTCACATAAAACGGCGGCCTTCTGATGACTCGGTTAGGAGAGTAGATGTATTAAATTTAACCAATGTTAAGAAAGGTAGAGGTAGACCTAAAAAGACTTGGTTATAAAATATTAAAAATGACATTTCTTTATTAGATATATATATGTGAATTTGACTTTTTAACTGGGCACAATGGAGAAAAATGATTCATGTAGTTCACCCCACGTAGTAGGATAAAAACTTGATGATGTTGTTGTAAGTGCCTTTTTTTCATGGTTGACATCAATAAGGTGAGATAACATGGAATAATATTTTTTTATGACTAGATCTTAAAGAAACTAATGAAAACTACTTGCCAACAAAAGGAAATTGAGAAAGAAGGGATTACATGAATTTGTATGCAGAAGTGACACCAACAATAACTTTTCTTCCCAGTGAATTCTTGCAGCTAGAGTGAGAATTCTGCACTAGGAAATGCTTGATAGATCCCACCTAGTCCATTTGTCACGCAAGGAACCTTTCTGAATATGCCCTCCAATTGCCCTTGGTTCCAGCCAAGGGACGATGCCAGGTGAAATTCTTTTCTTGTTTGCACTTTGCCTTGGCAATTTTCAGCACCACTTTTTCCTGCTGTGAGTTTCAAGTCTTGGACCAGCTGCTGCCTTCCATCACTGATGGTGCATGTCCACTTTACCAACCTTGCTGGAATTTACAGCAACCTGCAGTCCGAGTTAGGGTGAAGTTGGGTAGATCACTTGCTCAATTAAAGAAGACTAGCTTGCCTAAACAAGAAGACAATAGAGAACCTGATGAGAGTTTTCTTGATTGAAAGAGGCTGCAATCTTGCAGAACAATGGCTGCCTGAGAACTCCCCAACTGAAATTTCCTTGTGGTTTCCTGTTTTTTGTGCCTGGAAACAAGAAAACATGGATTCCTTAAGGAAGTAACCTTCAAAAAAATAGCAGCCAGCCCTTTTTGTTTCGTGCGTGAAGCCCACTGCCTGCAATGTGTTGGCTCAGCCACTTCCACTGAATCCTTCCCAGCTGCAGGACAGGCACTGGAGAAGGTTTTAGGAGCTTTGATGACCGATTTTGGTGGAGCCTCGTACTCCATTGCTTTCTTGTGCCGTCCCTCCTCTCCATATCCAGGGAAACCCTTTCTAAAAGTAGGAAAACTTGAAACAACAACAACAACAGCAACAACATCAAGTCTTTATCCCACTATGTGGGGTCGGCTACATGAATTCTTTTTCTCCATTGTGTCCTTTTAAGAGAATAATAAGACGAGGTGACTTTAAGTAGAGCCCAAGCCTCCAAAAATAAAAAATGCAAATTTACAACACTAATATGTTCACAAAACTTTATCAATTTAATCCAATTAATAACATCATTTTAAACTATGTCACCGCTCATATATGTAAATAATTTTTATAATAACCCTTCATCCATCCTTACTTCCCCTCCCTCCCTCCCTCCATCTCTCTCTCTCTCTCTCTCTCTCTCTCTCTCTCTCTCTCTCTCTCTCTCTCTCTCTCTCTCTCTCTCTCTCTACCTCCCTCTGATGTAGACAAAGGGGGGGTCAACTCAAGCCCAAAATAATTTGATTTTTGGCTTCCCCCGAGTTTACAAGCTCAATCAATTTGAGCTGAAATTTTAGCTCATTTATGAGCTGGTCTTTAGTTCATTTATTGAACTAAGGGTTAGCTCATTATTAGCTATGATTTTAGTTCATATTTATCTTATATTAAATGTACTTTTTATGCTTTTTATGTCTTTAATTATGTAGGCCTCTTGGAATTCCAAACCGGCTTTTGGAATTCCAAGAAATGTCTTTTCCCATGCGGTGGCTCCTTAGCTTCCTCCCTTGGGCTGCTGTTTTCCGTGCCTTGCCTCTTGGATTTCTGGCCGGCTACTAGTTTTCCGCGCCTGGGCTCTTTCCCGTGGCTGTGGCTCCTCGGTTCCGTGCGGTCTCCTTGTCTCCCGCGGTGGCTGCTTTGGTTCCTTGGCTTGGGCTATTTTTTTTATGAAAAGCAATTAAGTTTTAATGTTTGTCTTTTATAATTCCTATGGGAATTTATTAGGAGTCTCTTTGTATTCCCCTTTCATACCTATATATATATATATACATGAGGGGTATTGTATTGTTTTAAAAAGAGTGAATGAAATGTTATTTTTGGAAAAGCTATAACTTGCGGGTTTGCTTGGAAAAGCTTGCGAGCTTTGTCCGTCTTCTTTCTCATCCCCTACGAAAATCCTGCGGGCTCTTTCCAACCTTTCGTCTTGGCTTCTAACCTCTTCGTCTCTCAGCAAGTGCCACTCCACCTGTATCTTTCTTCCAAGTGCAGCCACTTTAGGGTGTCGTCTTTAATTTTAAGTTTGCAAGTCGCCGTCGTTTGTAAGGTTCTTTTTAATTTCTTCTTTTTAGTTTAATTTGAAATGTAAGAGTTTGTTCTTCCCCTTCTTCTTTGTCGTTTCATCGTCGTTCCGGTGTTTTATCTCCCGTGCGGGCGAGGGGTATAGGCTCCATATATTTCTTGCCCCCACCAATTTGGTATCAGAGCAAGTTAGGAAGTCCTAGGTTGTGTTTGTCAAGTTGTAGTTTGTCAAATTTCATTTTAGTTTGTTTTGTTTTGTCAAGACAAGTATTGTCGTGAGTCTTATTGTGAGTCTTTTGAGTCTTCTTTTTGAGTCTTTTTTGAGTCTGTCAAAAAAAAAAAAAAAAAGGAAAACAACAAAAATAAGGATTCATACAACGAGGAAATCAATTCAAATAATCCTGATGTCCCACTCCCGTTGGATAGATGGATTCCTACAGAAGGTGATTCAATGGATCCGCTTCAAGATCGTCTGTACAAGCTTAAGTATCACATGTTCCTATGTGTTCAAAAATTCGAGAAGTGGAAAAGATATCTACAACAACAATTCGAGAAGGAGCAGGAAGAAATTTTGAAGAAATTTGGTGAGAAACTCAAAGAGCTAAATGAACAGTATGCACCTCCTCAAGAGAAACCAGAATTAACTCATCAGGAGATGAGTCCTCAAGAAGGGGAGAATTTGATGTAGACAAAGAGGGGGTCAACTCAAGCCCAAAATAATTTAATTTTTGGCTTCCCCCGAGTTTACAAGCTAAATCAATTTGAGCTGAAATTTTAGCTCATTTATCAGTTGGTCTTTAGTTCATTTATTGAACTAAGGGTTAGCTCATTATTAGCTATGATTTTAGTTCATATTTATCTTATATTAAATGTACTTTTTATGCTTTTTATGTTTTTAATTATGTAGGTCTCTTGGAATTCCAAACCGGCTTTTGGAATTCCTAGAAATGTCCTTTCCCATGCGGTGGCTCCTTGGCTTCCTCCCTTGGGCTGCTGTTTTCTGTGCCTTGCCTCTTGGATTTCCGGCCGGCTGCTGGTTTTCCGCGCCTGGGCTCTTTCCCGTGGCTGTGGCTCCTCTGTTCCGTGCGGCTTCCTTGTCTCCCGCGGTGGTTTCTTCAGTTCCTTGGCTTGGGCTGTTTTTTTTTGGCTTGGGCTGTTTTTTTTTTATGAAAAGCAATTAAGTTTTTAATGTTTGTCTTTTAGAATTCCTATGGGAATTTATTAGGAGTCTCTTTGTATTCCCCTTTCATATATATATATATATAGGGGGTATTGTATTGTTTTAAAAAGAGTGAATGAAATGTTATTTTTGGAAAAGCTATAACCTGCGGGTTTGCTTGGAAAAGCTTGCGAGCTTTGTCCGTCTTCTTTCTCATCCCCTCCGGAAATTCTGCGGGCTCTTTCCAACCTTTCGTCTTGGCTTCTAACCTCTTCGTCTCTCCGCAAGTGCCACTCCACCTGTATCTTTCTTCTAAGTGCAGCAACTTTAGGGTGTCGTTTTTAATTTTAAGTTTGCATGTCGCCATCGTTTGTAAGGCTCTTTTTAATTTCTTTTTGTAATTTAATTTGAAATGTAAGAGTTTGTTCTTCCTCTTCTTCTTCGTCGTTTCATCGTCGTTCCGGTGTTTTATCTCACTTGCGGGCGAGGGGTATAGGCTCCCTATATTTCTTGCCCCCACCACCCTCCCTCTCTTTTCGTGTTTGTGTGAGAGCTGCCATAGATTAATTGATGTAGAACTAAATGCTTAAAATGAATGTAAAAGAATTTGCACGATTTCTTGATAAGAGCAATTAAGATTAAAACTATTAGCAAATTAAAACGATCAAATAAAACATAAGAGTGATCACTTCCATTTAGGCTATGTTGCACACTAAGCACTTGGATTATGAAAACAACATAGAAAATCAAGTGATGCAAATAGAATAGCCTTCAACATAAATCCCTAATCTAATAATAAGATTAGAAGCAAATAAAGTGCACTAAATCCTACATTTACTAAGCTTAGGCAAAGGTGAAGCTCGGCTCCTTGTGAATCTCCATCATCTACAAGATTAGGGGGATTAGAAAAGTAAATAAAAAGGGGAAGAAGTTCACCCTTATCAAAACCCGGAGACAAGACGATGTGTGGACGAAGTCTGTCGTAGTTTCTCGTGAAGGTTCAATTGGAGGAGAAGAGATCTCTTCCAAGCGTCGAAGTGTGTTGAATATATCGATCATTTGCTCGCTTTGAAGAGTCCTTCGAGAAAGAGGGGTTTCCTTTAACAATTCAAGTAGGAGAAGACAAGAGGAGGTGATGTAGAACATACATGCAAGGATGAATTGCTTAAGGAATTTGCACGCTTAATTTTGGAAACCATAATAATTATATATTTATAAAGATTTTAACGACAAGATAATACACAAAGAGTGGTAAAACAAGCTTAAGCTAAATCACATGCATAGAGGTTAAGATTGTAAGACAGTTAATTTAATATAACCTTGCATACATGAATGATTTCAACAATAAATCCCAATGCTAACAATAAGATTAGTCTCTACAAGAAGATCCTTCAATCAACTCTTTCAATTTCTAGGCGTTAGCGGAGAATTATTAACATTATCTTCATGACTATAATAATAACCACAAGCAATGATGTAACTATGAAGATAGAGAATCGGATGTTGAGTTTACCCAAAGATAAGAGAGATATGAACTCCGGTAAGGTCGTTTGAATGTTGGAAAAGAAGTGGACAGCAATCACAAGCCTTCATGATATTGTTGGACAGCAATCTGGAGCTCATAGGTGGCGGGACAACAATAATAGACTACGGAAATTACTGGACAGCAGCTCTGAGCATTTAAAACAATCATGGGCAGCCACCTATAGGGCCTAGGAAGACCTTGGACAGCTGCTGTGGGACGTCTGGAGCTTCTGGACAGCAATTAGCGATGTTCCAGGATGTAGGGCAGCAAGTTGTTTGGCTGGAGATCCCTGGATGGCGTGCAGGATTCGTCCAAAAATTCAAGACAACAACTTGACTCTGTCCAGAAATTTGGACAGCCAGTTGGGGAGATGAATTTCAACTGTTTCTTCCTATTGGGTATGGGTGCACGTGAGCATGAAAGGGAGGGTGGGAAATTGTGTGGACAGCAATGGAGGAGAGCTGGAGTTAATTCTCTTTGATTTAGGCTTGAATTTAAATGAACCAAACATGAACACAAACAATAAAAAAGCTCGAACAAACATGAACCAAACTAGAACAAACTGATATTAAATGAACACAAACATGAACACTCACATACTCGGCTCGGCTCGGTTCGTTTGCAGCCCTAGCGGGTAAGGTAGAGAGGCTGGGTAATTTAATTCCTAAAGAGGGGACTTGAGTTTGGAAAGAATTAAAGAGGTGGGGACCATGTAGAGGCCGATAGCATCCAAAGAGGGAAAGCAATTACTCTTCCTTTATTTGGAAAATCAAATTAAGGAGGGATATTCAATCCAATTCAATTCAAAATTCAAATTGAACTTAATTTAAGAACTTTCCAAAAATAGGTATCTTAAATTAGGAAAGAAATTTCAAATTCAAATTACTTTGAAATTTGAAATCAACCTTTCCAAATTAAGAGGAGATAATTATGAAAAGAATTCAATGTGTGATTTGAATTTTGGAGGGAGGAGGAGGGTGATGAGGCCGGCGGCTAGGTGGCTTGGAAGGAGAAATTTTGGTGGGGTGAAGGTGACGTTGGGTTGGTCGGGTGAGGGTGGAGAAGGAATTGGGGTTATCCGGTAGTGAGTGAAAGTTGGATGCTGGCCAGCGGCTTAAAGAGGTGGGGAGGGATTTCAAAACCGGCGGCTAGTTGAGGGAGGAAGGAGGAGGAAAAAATGATAGAGAAGGTAGAACCATGAACCCGGCCATCTCCAAGGTTGGTGGGTGATCTGTTTTCCCTCTCCTAGGGATTCATCTCTCAAACACTCTCAAGATCTCTTAACGAAATATAGCAAGGGGAAAATTTTATCAATCATTCATTCATTAATTTTCAAAGAGAACATAGGGGCTATAAATAGCCTCGTATATAAGACTCAAAATAAAAAAAGACAACAATGCCCTCAGGGCTTACATATGACCTCCCTTTAAGGGGTAAAAACGGAAAAATAATTACAACATAAATAATAAAAGACAAATAACATAATAAAACAAATACATGAAATAATTCAAAATACATCGACACGTTCTTAGCCGTTGATCGACGGCCACGCCTCTGATATACGATTCATGCTCTGATATCCTCATCATTAATGTTGACAATTATGATGCCCATTTTTTATACCTTATGTATCAATCATTATAACAAATCTTAACAGTTGGTATTAGTTAAGATTACTTGAGTTTGGTTAACTGGATGATTTTTTAGTTTGTTATGGAAAATTGCTAGTTTATGAAGAACTTTTCTTAATATCATCTTACAAATTTCATAAAACTTGATATAGATAAACATCGGGTTGATAGTTTAAATTTGTGTTGGCTCTCAACTTGATTTCTATTAACCTCAAGTTTGTGTAATTTTTTTAAAGTTATTTTTTAAGAAACACCATAATAGAAGCCGTACTTTTATTAGGTTTTTATTATATGTGCATCATGCATGTTCTGAGTGCGTTGTTGGCATTCAGATTTAAATGATGGGAGATGGCCAGAACGTGTCTGCCGTTTTGGATGGTCAAAATGTTTTAGCATGTGTTGGGCTTATGCATGAATTGAAGTATGTTTGCTGAGTGGTGAAGCAAGATTCTATACATGCTATCACTTTTTTTCTGCACTTAATTCCTGGCATCTGTGCGCACCTTTCATTTCTTTTGCTGATATGAATTACAGCAATGTTATTGAATATAGTTTAATTTAGTTGTTGATGCAGGATGGAAGCAAGAGTACTGGAATTGAGAAGGGCATATAGCACACTAAGGGCATTGATTGATGTCCTAGAGTTTCTTGTGGGAGACAAAGTTACTGATGGAACTAGTAGGCTTATAATGGAGGAGGTAGTTTCCTTTTTTATTTGGAGTTCATGTTTACATTTAGCCTCTTTGCCTGATTACTTCTCCTTGTTTATATAAACATACATATCTCCTACTTATATTTAAACTCGTTTTCTATGATATTTGTTTTTATATAGGTGTATATTTATGCATTTATTTTTGTGTATGAGTTGTGCGTGTGTTTGCGAGTATTATAGAGCATAGGTTGCGGCGTGATACTAATGTTTCTCAAAATCAATTTGGATTTATGCCGGGTAGGTCGACTATGGAAGCCATACATTTATTCAGAGGTTTGATGGAAAAATATAGAGGAAATAAGGAGGATCTACATATGATATTTATTGATTTAGAAAAAGCATATGATAAAGTTCCAATAGTTGTGCGTGTGTTTGCAATGTGATGCTATGCTTTGGTAATATTAACTTGATCGTTTTAGAGTTGATGATTAGGTTCAAGGTCCCTTAGTTAGCTTAGTTCTATAGCGTGCTTTTGATATTGTATCCATGTTATTATTACCGTCTAACGAATGCTTCTATATTAGGCAGCTGAATTCATTAGATTTGATTGCCTACTTACATGTTCTATTACAGGTTAAAAGGATAAAGAAATCTGATGCCGCACTTGGTGAAGACCTTACACCATACAACATTGTCCCTCTTGATTCTCCCTCTGTAACCAATGCCATTGGTTTTTTCTTCGAAGTATGTCTTATTGTTTTGCTAATTTCTGCATTTTGATTTGTATTCAAGGAAAGATGCTATCTTTGGAAGAATATGCTTTTATTTACTACTGGTCTAATATGCTATTGGTTATGCTAATGTATCTCTGCTGTCTGGATTTAGTTGATTATTATCTAGCACATGAACTAAAAACAACATTGTGCAATGAATATAATCCAAATATATCAGGGACCTTCATTTAGTTTGTGTCCCTGCCTCTATTAGTTAAATTTGCTGGTGTCACGGTTGGCTTAAAAGAGTTTGCTGATGCTTTTTTATCAATTGAATAAAGTGCATTATGAACCTCAGGATATTCTGCTGATGTCGCATTCTATTTGTTCTCTTGGTCATTTGCTTAGTTCTTGGCATGCTTTATATCAATTGAATAGAGTGCATTTTGAAATTCAAGATAGTCTGGTGATGTTTGACTCATTTATTGTTCCCTCATTCGTCCTGTTTCAGTCATGAGCAGTTATTTTTTTAAGAAATACATGGGATTATGACTTATTATAAATTTTTCAGGTAAAAGCTGCAATATCTGCAATTGGATATTCCTCAGATTTACCAAGGATTCCTGCTGAATTTAAGGCCGCTGTGCTTAGAAGTATGGATATGTTTGATCTCTTGGAGTTTGTTTTTGGATTTCAGGTTTGTTTTTGTCGTGGATCAAAACTTCAGAAGTTAATTGTATTGATTTTATTTTTCTGGTTAATGATATGCTAGACATGTTAGGCGGGTACCTTGATATTCTAATTCAGATAAATGTCAAAGATGTTCTACTTACCTGCCACTCTTTTCCTTCTCACGATTCCAATTACAAGGAGTGTTGCCCTTGACTTCATATTCAATTGCTTCTTCTGTTATAACATAACAAATTTTCCTTAAAAGATATTTAATTAAAATAAGTTTGTGACCTTTTTGTTGTATGATTGTCACATCTCGTCTCCTATTGGCTTTCTTGCTGACATATTCTTTGAAAATATTTACTTCATTGTTTAGTGATTCTGGTGTAAACTCCTAATTTGAGTATCATCTTCTGAATTCTTGGAGTACAGTATTTAGGTATCCTTAGAAGAACTATTCTCCAAATTTGACGAGCCAATCAAAATCTTCATCTTGGTATTCGCCAAATTTATATAAGATTCTCTGATCCTTTGGTCCTGCATAAAGGAGGGGTAGGGTTTGTTAAATTGGTGTGTAAACCTCACACTTAAGATTTTCTTAAGCAATTCCAATTCTTCTAAATTATTGTAGCACATCATAAATAATATGATGTGAAAGTAATATTATAAGATTTGAAGTTTAATTATCATCATGACTAAATGCTATTCCACCCAAACTACAATATCATGCTTAAGTTAATACAACCACAATATAAAAAAGAAAACCCCACAATCATTCACAATTAGTGGTTGTCAAATTTAACTGCTAGAATGAAAATTAAAATCAAAGTCAATAGAACCAGCTTATTCCACCCAAACTACAATATCATGCTGACATGCTTAAGTTAGCACAGCCACAATATAAAAAAGAAAACCCCACAATCATTCACAATTAGTGGTTGTTAAATTTTACTGCTAGAACGAAAATGAAAAATTTAAATCAATAGAAACAGCTAGTCGGCGGGGTGGCAGACATGTTTTTTACTCGACTCAATTATTTTGAGCTCCACTTTATGCTTTAAATTATTCAAGTTGATTTTGTTTTTGACTTGCATAGCTTTAATAGTGTTTGAGTTGGCTTATAGCATTCCAGCAAATTCAACTGTTTCAGAATCTCTATTTAAAAATATTCTTAAAAATATAAATTCAATTTTGAAAAACATGAAACTTGAAAAATTGAAATACTATGGTATGTTAATGACGTTGAAGAGAAATATAGCTGAAAGTCACTTTTGTTTATTTTTTTTATCAGAATTTTAAATAGGTAAACTGAGGGTAAAAAGAAGTCATAAAGGAGTTGGAAAGCATAAACATGCCAAAATAATATGAAACTTGTTATACATGAGCAATATGACATACTAAACATGTTCTTTGAAACTCAAGGAAACATGTTCCAAGAGGGTGAACTTGGGGCAGTGGTTAAATTGCCTCACGTGTAATCTAGAAGTCAATGCAATGGGTGTACTCTAAACATGTTTCAAGGGACTTTTAATTGAAAAATAGTATGTTTAGTCTTAATAATTAAATCAGTCTAAATGTAGTTTTAATGTTTTGAAATTTTGGCATATGATCACAAGTGTACTACTTTAAAACTTGGAACACCTATGCAACATGCTATGATAATCAGCTCCGGGGGTTTCTTTAAGAAAAACATTTTTACTGTTAAGTCAACTTCAGGTCAAGCTTAAGCATGTATGTAAAGGTTGATTTTGGTTAATTCAGAGACACATTTTTTAAAACTCATATTTATGATAAATGCTAAAATATAGTCAAATCATGATTGAATGATAAATCCATTGAAAAAGATGATCATTGAAAACCAATGAGAAATCCTAAACATTACTTAAGCCTAAACCAATTCTATCAAGTTTTCTAGAAAAGGTAATCTAAGAAACCTAACTAGAACCTTGGCCTTTTATCATTACTTAATTACCTTCCTGCATCTCTGTGAGTCTTGATTTGATCATTGATTTTAGGTTTGTGTTAAAGGAGCATGATCTTTAAGCTTGATCACCACGTAGTCAACATCCATGTGGTCAATCTCTTGAATTGTATGCCTATTCTGACCCTTAGGCAAACCTTTAGATGAGAAGAAAGAAGAAATTTTTTTCATGCAATCACAAATATAAGCATTTGGGCTCCTGGGACCTTGGTGTGACATATATAGGATTACATGTTGCAGACTGCTCTAAAAAGAAACCTGTTTTAATTTGCAACTGTATATCAATCGATCCTTAAATATCCCACATGCTCTTAAATATCTAAACATGCCGCTTTCTTGTATTATGGTCCTTATGTGCCCTTAGAATCAAATTGATCTGAACAAAGGAGCTGCATGCCAGCTCAACTCAGCAGTTGAAACATTTAGAATAATCAGCATTGAACAAGTAATGTGGTTCGTGGACTACTAGGTTGATGAGAAAGTGACACAATTTATGTTATATGGATTTGCAATATGAACAATCAAATTTTTTTACCCATTCATTTTAGTTGTCAAACATCTCATGAATGTAATGTTTTATATTGGCAGAGGGACAATGTTCGCAACCAACGTGAAAATGTAGTTCTTACCATAGCAAATGCTCAATCTCGTCTAGGTTTGCCAACTGATGTGGAACCTGTAAGTGATGCATCATTATAAGATATTAGCAGTGCAACTGCTAATGAGTTTTTAACTCGCCTTAATGCATCTTTCTTGGTTGCAGCTTTTTTTTTTAAAGCTGATCCCACATTAGTGGAATAAAGGCTTGATATTGTTATTGTATTTTTTTGTTATGATACTTCAATGAAATTTTTATTGGTGGTTTTAATCTCTTTCCTGTTTTATGATGTAATGTTTCATTTAGAATCTGATTTCCAGCTATTTAGTCTGTTGCTGTTATGTCTTTTCGTTAATAACACATCTGTCCATCCAAACATTTGGGCATGCTTGTGCTAATATATCATAAGCATATTTTCTGCCCATATATTGGAGCTAATATAGTAAAGTCCACATTCATTCTTAATTAAATCTTAATTTTTTTGTGTCAGAATCATCTATTAATTTTTTACGTGAGATTACTGTCATTTGTATTAAGTGGAATAGATTTTTTCTAAATTTGTCTCTAAAAAAAGGTGTCATCTTTTAGTTTCTCCTTCTCTAAAAAATGTTGAGAGTTAAAATCAAATTGGAACAGTTATTCTTTGAACAATTTGTCTATATAGCATATACATGATACAGTAGTAGAGTTTTGCATTGATGTGATGAAAGGGAATTTCCCATATGAAAGTTATCCTTTTGTTATGAAGCCAAATTTTTAGGCAAATCTTACTTAACAGGTCTTCAACTGTCATTTAGGATTAATGTTCCATTAAGAATTTATGGTGTAGGACTGGATGAGAACCAGCATGCAACTTGTGCTTCCACATGTTGAAAATGCTAATGGTAAATGGAAAATAGGGAAGATTTTAAGAAACCTGCTGTATTATTTAGAAATTAAATACTTGTCAGACATGTAGGGCATTCTGGAGCTTGGTGTTGCTGATGCAGCTCCAACATGCAAGACAATTTTTGGTGATCATTCGAAGCAACACACTAGATGCTTTTGCATGAAAGCAGTCTATTAATGCTAAAATAATTATTATTATATAACTGATATTTGAAAATGGTTAAAAGCATATTTTGAACTTATAATAGAAATATAGGATAATATAATTAAAGATCACGAGCCCCACAATTTATTCTAGAAAAGAATGAGATTATATGAGATCTGGTAAAAAATTCATGCCCAACCACTAATGACAAAAGAAGAGAAGGGGATGAACAATGATTACTTTTAAAAGTGGTGACATCAAATTATAAATAGACTATATTTTTATACCGAGAGTAATGTTTTTTCCTGAATCATGCGTACTGTAGGTCATCTTGTGATTTTGTCATATGATGAAGAGGTTGATGTTTTAGCGAAACCTTTTGAGTTTTCTCTTGGGTGGAAGTTCTTATTTGGTCACTCTAAAATTGATGATTTGAAGAACTTTTCTTTACTTTAATTGCTTGATTCTTGCAATTTTGGTCACATGAATTTCCAATGAATCTCGATTAGGTTGCTGCTTGAAGAATTTTACTCCCATCTTTTCTCTCAAAAAACTTATCATTTTAATGACTTCATGTTAAGATTACTCCAGCATACTTCTTATTTTGACGAGATGGAATCTTTAATAATTCCTGTTTGGAACTTTGTTGAAGAAATTAAAGTTATTTTGATTATCCATACTTATTTATTCTTTAAATCCATTTTTATTAAGCATCTTAATGTTGGTGGAACTATTTCTTTATATTCTAGATTTTCAACAACTAGGATGCTTGTTGAAATGAATGTTGTGGTGGATTTTGATAAATTTTTTTGGGTTGGAGCAGATAATAATGTTTTTTTTTGCAGAAAGTGTTGTTTGAAAGTCTCCTAGTTTATTTTGAATGTAGTAAAATACATGACCATAAGACTTAGGCTTGCTTTGGTCTTGAAAATCTACTTATGGTTTGGAAGGTGGTTGGAAGAATGGGCGTTCTGTTAAAGATGGGAGTTTAGTTTCCAATTATAAGAATATTTTGATCTCTTTTCATACGCCTGAGGTGGTTGGACATCCTTTGGTAAATTTTTCTTTTGTCGGTGATGATATTCTTGTTGATTTTGATTATGGACTTCATTGAAGGACTACCTTGATCAGAATGATTTTGAACCCTACATTCATACCATATTAGGAGGAAATTTTGGGGTGATGATCTTTGGGTGGGTGATGGTGGGTTCAAATTATTATTTTAAGAAGGAAAAGGTATGTTTATCTTAAAAATCTATGATTTGGTTAAATTCTTTTTAGGACTTAAAAGCTGATAGATGTTTAGAGAAGTATTTTTCTATTAATGTTTTTGAATAAAATAGATGTTCAAGATTGTGCTAATTATGATGGAATCAAACTTGCAAGTCCTATAATGAAGATTTGGAAAAGAGTAATGGAACATTGATTTATAGAAGTGCCAATTTTGGAGAATTTATTTGGTTTCGTGCTAATAAGATCTACTATGAAAGCTATTTATATATTAAAAAAATCAATGAAAAAAATATAAAAAACAGGGAAAGGATCTTCATCAAAATTTTTTAAGCTAGCAAAAGTTGGAGTAGAACGTCATATAATCCTTGTAATTTCATCATTTTCTGTAAGTTTGATTTTGTTGACCACAAGCCCCAACATTGCATTTGCACCCTCCTACGGTGACCACAACTCTACAGTTCAAAGTCTGCAATCTGAGGTATACAAAAAATGGGAAATCCATTGCTGGAGTTGGAAAACTGCAGGAAAAAGCATTGATTTCTCTTGCCTAAGGTGCCTTGAACTGTGTTGCTGCAGTGACTTATGTCACAATATAGTGGAGCATTACCAAACATGAAGAACTTGTCCTGAAGAAGAGAAAATAATGTTTTGTCTATCATATATTTTACCACAAATAAGAGATTTTTATCTTTATAGGAGACTAATAAATTATTTTCCTTGGCCAGAAAATTGATGGATTTAGTTTCATCAGTACATGATTTATTCTGGAGAATAGTCATTTATCCACAGTCTACAACCAATTCTAAATTCTGTTTCATACATTTTAATAATTATCTAATCATAATTCAAATATTTACTTAAGTTATAGAAGATTGGTTCTCCAGTTGTAGAAGATAAGATTGCTTCTAGAATACCTGGCTTAAGTTCATCGTTTTTCATATTAATACAATCTTCCATTTAGCTTGCATTTAGCATTACGAGGACAAGACGGCTTGTAGAATAAATTATAATACACTCATTTATATCATGATTTCATCAATTGAGATCATCATATATGCTTTTATTAGCTTGGCGATACCTCCATTAAATTCATGTTCTTTGAAAGACGATGCATTGAGAATCATGGACCAATCATTTTATCTAACCGTTTTTCATAAACTTTAGATGCATTGATGATCACCATCTCAACTTCTATTTTGATCGATATTTGTGTTTGGCTTGGTTGGCTTAACAATAGTGAGCTGGCCTTGAACATGGTTTCTTGAACCTCATTTAGCTTGAGCTTAAGCATATGTTTAGCTTGATAGCAATCCAATCAAGCTTCGCTAGGGCATATCTCATTCAACTGAGTTCTTCACGTATAGTGACAACTTTTAAACTATGATGGCTATCCTAATTTTCATCTTAATGATTTTGGTTTTGTTTATGTTTTCATTTAAATGAAGTGTAGCGGAACTTTAATGAGGATATATGGTTAAAGCAATGTATCAGTAGATCCATTGATTGTGTTGCATTCACAATGAAGAAAATTTGAAAGTCAACGCACTCTTCAATTTATCCTTTTCCAAGTGTACTCCATGGCTCATGGTTTACTTGGAACTTTACCGGATGTTACTATCCATTCACTTAGCTGTAGCTAATCACAATACGATACAATTTTGTTATTATTATTTTTTTATGGCTTGCAGAAAATTGATGAAAAGGCTATCAATGAAGTTTTTTTAAAGGTATTGGACAATTACATCAAATGGTGTAGATATGTTGGCGTGCGGATTGCTTGGAATAGGCAAGTTGACATGTTTTTTGTTGTGAAATCGTACAATTTCGTACTGATTCCCCTGATACTCATTTTGCAGCTTCGAAGCAATTAATAAAAGCAGAAAGATTATTTTGATTTCTTTGTACTTTCTTATCTGGGGTGAGGCTGCCAATGTGCGTTTTATCCCTGAATGCCTTTGCTACATTTTTCACCATGTGAGTATTATGCGAGCCTTCTCTATGCATATTTACTTGTTTAAAGAAAGTAGCATCTAAATTACTTCGCTGTTACTAATTGCTGACATAAGTAGCGGGGCTGTTTGCTTTTGCCAAGATGCTACATTTTAAGACCCTGTTGGGAATTGCGATAGCTTGAAAAATAAAATTGCAACTTCAATGAACTGTAGCTAAGAGTCTAATGCAATTATAAATTCATTTGTTTTATACATACATCATATTTCGAGTTACATGTTTGATTTCCTATTTACCCAAACAAATCCGTCCAGCATGCTATAAACAAAGTAATTTAAATTATTTTTTTATGAAAGCAAATAAATTATTCATTATGATGCATATTATGAAATGCTATTTTTTGGCATCATAAATTCGTAGTAAAATTTAGAGAGATTTATATTTGGGCCATCAAAATATTTCTTATCTACAAAATTCACCCCCATATACTGAAAATGTACCAGCAAATGCCTGCATTTGTATGTTGACAACCAAATCCCTTGGTTTTTAATAAATAATTGAGAAAAAAAGTTTTGATAGTTTTGTTGAACTCTTCAAAACTTTTGGTATTACTATAATGAAATCACTTGAGTTTTATTTTTATAAATATGCTAGATTCCTGAGTTGCACATGAAATTGCACTAAATTTACATTCACAATTAAAATAAAAGTAAAGTTAATGCTGCAAGTGGAATATTGGAAATAATACCTTTCTAAAGGATGATAATCTAAGCCACCTATTAAATTCTTTTAAGCCTATAGTGATGAGGACATCGGCAGGAGATTCTGACACGTTTATAATAGGAGGAATCGGAGATCAAAGGCTACGATTAGTAGTCTTTATTTATGATGGATTTTATGTATTTCTTATGCTTATGTTTTATCCTTTACCATCGTACCCCTATGCGGGATTAGTTTGTGTTGTAGTGAGGGCGTTTTAGTCTTTGAGTCTCTTTTATTTTGAGGCCTATATATGGAGGCCTTTGCTGTTATAAAAGGATGATGATTAATGAGAAATTTTTGCATTCTTGTTTTCATGAGGGTTGAGAGCTCTAGAGAGAGGAGAAGTCCCTAGGTGAGGGCAAAAGCAACTCCTACCAGTCGCAGGAGGAGTCCGGGCTCACGATCCACTCCTCCACCTCCTTCCAAACCGTCGACCACCCTCTCTTTTCCCTCCTTACCATCGGTCACCATCTCCCACCTCTTCAGGCCGTCGGCCACCACCTCTCTCCACCCAACTGCCTGCCCTAAGCCCAACCCGCTAGCCCTCCACCCACCTAACCCCATGCTCTTTACCCTCCCATAGCCGCCGGCCTCCCTAGCCTCAAACCTTAGCCGCCGGCCCCAAACCCCCCCCTCTTTTTTAATTTCAAATCAATTTGAAATTGAAATTTTCCCTCCTATTTTGAATTAATTATGAAAGCTCCATCCATTAATTTAATTTGAATTTTAAATTTTGAAAGACCCTTTAATCATTTCCTAATTTAAAGTTCCCATTGTAGAAGTCATTCAATTCCTCTAAACAAGCGCCCCCACCCAATCATTGGGCCGCCCCTCTATTTCTCCCCCCCCTCTCTCTCTCCATTTATAGCCCCTTCCTAATTGAGCCACAATCAAATCCTCCTTTCTAAGGACTAGCCGCCCCTCCATCTCTCTTAAAATTTGAATCCCTCCTCTCTCTCTTCTCATTAACTCCACGAATTAATTACAATAATTGTTGGAGTTAATTCCCAAATTCTCATAGCCTCTCTTGAACCCCCCTCTCCTCTTTCTCCATACAAGCCGCCGACCACCCTAGCCCCCTCTAGAAATTGGAGGAACTTTCACTCTCCATGGATGGCTGACTCCGAGCATGATCATGGATTCGTCTTCGATCCTCAAGGACGAGAGGATGTTCATAGGTCGCCCTTCTTCGACATCAATTTTGAGATCGACCACACCGTCGAAGACTACATCGATCGGATCTTCTTTTCCTTGACAACCGCCATCGACGAGCATCAACTTCCCGTTCAGTGGTAAATCCTCCAACACCCACTCGCTATCTCCTCTCCAAATAACTCTTCATTGAACAATACTGTAAGTGCCTTTTGTCTTGTGGTGGCGTTGTTAGTATTGTATAAATTATTCTTCCGCTAAAATACCCATGAGTATGCGTGAGGGAAACTCAAGGCGACCATTCTAATTATTAACTGGTGGATTCTTGTGATTGACAAATTAAGCATTTAATATTTTTTTGTTCTTAATTTAATTTCTCCCTGCTCTTTATTGTAACTGTATGCTATTATAAGATATTTAACCGAGACATCCTAGAATTTAATCTTGTGAAACATTAAGTTTTAATCAGCAGGCTTGTTAACTTTTATAATTCCCATGCAATTCCTACAACTGCTTTATGTTTCACATCATATAGTTGGCACATGTTTTGAATATTCATGCTACATACAATATAGTGTATTTGCAAATTTAGCTAGCAAAATAGTATAATAAATTTTGTAGACACTAATGCAATCTATTCCCAAAAGAATTAGAATATCGATACGTAATCATCTAAATGAAGAGATTCTTATTGATTATCGCTAGTGACTGTCAAATTGTTGACGACATTGATAAACTACTATAGATAAAAGTTGTCTATGAGTTATTTTTTTATTTATGAATAGTTATCTCCTTAATAGAGATTTTAATTTATTTAAATAAATATTAGGGCTATTATGTTATTGTTTAAGTGAGGCTAGTCCTATAAATATCTGTATCCATTGAGCAATGTATTGAATCATGTAATTGTTCTCTTCCTAGGGATTTTGATCTTCCCTTTAATATTTGTTCCCCTTTGAGAGTTTTAGAGAGTTGTATGAGATAATCATTTTATTATTCCTTGGTATATACCCTCTTCTCAATCATCTCTTCCACTTATTGGTAGACATCTTTATTACTCCATCAAAGTTGTGACACATCTCTATTTATCATAGATATGTTGAGTTTGTATCTCTTCATTGAAATTGAGAAAATGCTCAAATATATCCCTAGACTTATTTTGAGAGTCTATTTTAGTCCCAACTTACTGAATTTGCTTAACTCTTTAAAATTTATTCAAATTAGTCCCTGAATTCATCAGAAGTTTCTGCTGGATTCTAAAGGTGTTTTTATATTGTATCAATCTTGAAGACTTAATAGACCAAATTAGGCACATTTAATAGTCTGGGACTAATCACACTCGTCTTAGTTAATTGTTTAAACCCAATATAAATGCTCTTAAGAAAATTAAAGTCAACCAAGATTAAATTGCTGAAGTCATCTAAATAACATCAGCATTTTTAAAACGCTAAGCACAGTGGGATGCATTAGGCTTTCTTTTTTCGGTTCAATGTTCTATGCTCAGAGCGAAATATATTTTTGTTAATTAGTGTTTATATGTTGTATATCATACATACAAATATTATATGCATAAATAGTTATTAAAATTAACCAAATTTAAACCACAGGATAATATTGTTTTAGTAATCATAATGACACATTTAATTATTATTTTTGTCCATTTGAAATAAAAAAGAATATAAATGACATGAATAATGAAATGATGCAAGAATATTTTAAAATCAGGAATATCCTCGTGAGAACGAGTGAACAAATAGAGATGTAAAGGCAAAAACAATGTGAAATGAGAATTTCTGTGAAGATGAGGTACTGAGAAGCATTCTTGCGAAGAAGTTTATGAACAAGAAGCTACTAATGTGATGTGAAACAATCCATGCGAAAGTGATTTGCTTAAGAAAAATTTGCACGCTTAGATTTAGAGGTGATAATAAGTAATATCTTATGCGGAATTGAACGATAAGATAAATATTAAATGACACTTAGCTTAGGTTAAATCACATGAATAAAAGTTAAGTTCAAAAGATAGCCAACTTAATCCGATATTGCATACATGGATCGTTCCAACAATAAATTCCAATACTAACAATAAGTTTAATCTATGAAAGATCCCTCACACAACTCTTCATATTACTAGGTTCTAGCGGCGAATAATTGACCCAAGGAATGAAGTTATACTAGGAAGATAAGAGCGTTAGGAGAAGAGTTTCACCCAAGGAATGAAGTTATACAACGTTCCGGTGGTGCTTTGTTGGTTGGATCGGAAGTAGGTGGCCTGGAGCAGATTCCGGACAGCAATTTTGGTTCTCAAGGATGCTGGATAGCAGTTTTCTGGGCTCCAAAATTCTGGACAGCAACTGGACAGCAGCAAGGAGGTATTCTTGGATAGTTTTCTTGTTGATTTGGGCACTCCTGGACATCAAACGGGAGCTCCCCAATTGTTGGACAGCAAAGGAAATTTGCTGGAAATCTCTGGGCTGCAATGGGGACTATTCAATCGGCAGATCAGCGGGATGAAATTACTGATTTCTCAGTTCTGAAGGAACAGGGGCTGGCGGGATATTCCTGGACAGCAAAACAGGGATCTCTGGACTGTGGGCTAGCTGCTGGGTGAAGGCAGAAAATTCCTCGGTAGATCACGGACTAGGGAAGAGTGATATTAGGGAGAAACCTTCCAAACGGAAACTTGAATTTATTTCAGATTAATTTGAATAGGTATTTGAATCTTAAGATCCAAATAAAGAGGATGATTAATGCTCATTCAATGGAGAGAGCCAAGAGGGGGGCCGACGGCATTTATGAGGGGGTAGGGTTTGGGAAAACTGAAAGGAATTTCAGTTTTTAAGTGAGAATGGAGGGAATTATCTTGAAATTAAGGTTTGAATTTCAAAATAGGGAGGGGGATTAATTGGGCAATTAATGGGAAGCCCAATGAAGGGGCCGGCGACATTAATGGGCAAGAGGGAATGTGGGGATGAGGTGTCATGCTTGCCTAACTGTAAATTTAGGATTAGGAAAGTAATTAAACAAATCCATTTGAATTTGAAATTCAAAAGAATTGATTTAAGAACTTTCCAAAGATGGAATGACAAATTTCATTCAATAATCATCATCCCTTTCCAAGAGGAAGGGGAGGGCTTAAATAGCCAATACATGAAGGAAAATAAAAAAAGACACAATTGCCCCTAGGGCAAACATAAAACAAAGCCCTCAAGTGAGGGTATAAATGGAGAAGTACAAATAACAAATAAAATACATGAAAATAAATAGACACGATCGTAGCCGTTGATCTTCGATGTCCTCATCATAATGCCAACAACTATAATTAATAGAAAAGTACACAACAGCTAGCGGGGGAGTTAGCGTGAGGGGAACCACCAAGAGATGACTAGATTCAATGGAAGTGAATGAAAAACTGATGAGTAATGACTTAAGGCCTATGAGAAACAGTAAGCAAAAGTAACGGATCATAACTAGTTATTATGTTACTATACCGAGCCATGAAATTTGAATCAAGATTTCACTTTTAAGTAGGAGCCAAGCGCACAATGCTATGATGCGATGCCAAGAAGCGGTGTGACATGCAACCATTTGTTGTGAGCTTGCGATTTAAGTACACTTTATTGCTATGTGACATTGGCCTTAGTGGAGCTTCATAGATGGTTGCTCTCCCTCTTTCCTTGGTGATCTAGAGTATTCACTTATTAAACATAATTCAAGATGGAATTTGGCATCTAGAATGATCAAAATTTTGAGGTTTAATTTGAAAGAAATAAGTGAGGCCTTCACTTTTCTGATGTTCTTTATGCTCCTCTTTCGTTACAATCACAATTAGGCAGTTAAATGCATCTTTGATCCACCTATTTGCAATCATCTGTATTTAGATAATTTTTTTCTTTGACCATGATCTTTGAAGTTCGTGTTCTGTGATTCTTAAATGCAGTATTATGCTGTTATTCATCATTTGTCTTGAAAACTTTGTATTCGAGTTTCTTCCATTTTCATATAATTTGACATACATTGAGCACAACTATATAATTAATGTTAATGAACAAATGAGAGAAAATTAACTTCTGTAAGTCTTAAATTATGCGGAGAGCTTCATTTTATATTGGAACCTTCCAAATACTTCATTCTTTCGAAGAAAAGATATAGTCTTCTATTAAATTCTAATAAATGCATTAAACAAAGGAGAATGCTTCTCAGTTAAGTCCAATTCCTGAAATTTACTTCTGAGTATTTGTCTATTTAATGCGATCTAAATCATTATTTATATATTGATATTAATTAACTAAGAAAGTTTGGTTTCTAAAGCCATGAAACAAGCTAAGAGCTCCAATTTAAACTCCAGTCCTCTCAAAATTTATAGTTTTTTTTTGTTCTTTTAAGAAAATAAAATGTGTTTTCCACCAATTACCAACCAAGCCATGAAATAGTGGAACACCATTTTGAAATAGGTAACTATTTTGCTTGAACTTTGTTCCAATCTTTTGTTGATCTATTGTAATTTATATTTATATCCATACCAGTATAGACTATTCATTGTTGACAATGCTAGAGACATTTGGTTTTTAATAGCCATTAAATAAGAGTAGATATCCATTTCAAAATGGAACCCTCTCCTCTCCGTTATTCTTTTGTACTCTTTTTAGAAAGAGTGAATGATTTAACTTTAAAATAATAAATAATAAAAAATTGTTAAAAAAGAAGTTTACTCCATTTTGCTTGAAGTCACTCCTTTCCTCCAATTCCACACTAATGTCTTATTTATATAATATAATTTACATCTATATCTAAATATCTACATATTATATTGTAATCCCAAGCAAAGAAAAATTATTTTCTCCATATAAATGTTTTTGGTTTATCACCATTTCTTAAGTCTTTGATCTTGTGAGTTGTATCAACATTGATAGGTATTTTCTCTAGCTAAGAGAGAGCAATTGCTAAATAAAAGTTCAATTTTTGTCATATATTTCACCTATCAAAACTTTTGAATATATGCTAAATACCATTAATAATATTTAAACGAAACCCTAGGTCATTTGTGATACTCTACGGTGTAAATTGCAAATCTCATATCCTACTTTTTGAACCCTTCAAAACTTGAACCTTTTATACATAGGATGAAATGACGGCAGGATTTGTCAAAATGCAGGAAATAATCTGTACCTCTAGTTTTATAATTTTCAAAGGAATGGATTATCTTCTTTATTTCTGTTGAAGTTGATAGAATTGGAAATTGTAATGAGAGGACAGTGGTCAATTTGATCCTAGGTAGAGTGACAGTCATAAAGTGGAGTTCGTGTTGTTGATTGTCTTGATATCGTTTTCTTCAATTATGAGTGTTATTCTTAGGACGTTGTCATCATGCATTTTGTCAAGGATTAGCTTTCATTATATTATTTTTCCTAAAATGAGTTCGGTAAAGATGCAATTGTTAAAATTTGACAAAATTCTGGTAAGTTTTTGCTAGAGTTGCATACTTATGAATCATGAACTAAAAAAAAAAAATTCTTTGCTTGCTTTGCAATTTCTCTCATAAGAGTGTAATTGAGTGAAGCAAACTCATTAGTCGGTTTGGGCCCGACTCGTTATATGGCAATGAGCTGAGCTCGATGGCTAATGAGCCATCTTGAATCAACCCTGACTTGACTCGGCAGCTCGCGAGTCCACTCGTTTGAAAATATTAATAGAAAATACAATTAAAATGTATTAGAATTAAATAGTTTTAGTATAAAGTTGTAAAAAATGTTTAAAATTGTCATCTTATTTAAAATGATTTTTTTATTATTTTTCATTTAATTTCTTATATTTTATGATATTTTTATAATAATTGTTTGAATACGAATGATCTTCTCTTCAATAATAAATGAGCTGGTTCGTAAGCCTACTTGAAAATCATAGAATGAAGCTCAAACTTGATTAATTAATCAAGCTCAAGCTTAGCTAAGGGATGACTCGAGCTTGACTTGACTCATTTACACCCCTAGTCTCCCTCTTTTTATCTTAACATTTTCTCTTATCCCTTTATGGAAGATTTGGTGTAGGTGAGGGCTCTCGGTATGAGAGAGGGATATTTGTGGAGTATGGGAGTAGGTGGGAGAGGGGGGAGGGGGGTGTGCCATTTATCCTTATTTATTAAAAAAATAGGGTAATAAGGATATAATCACATAATTTAAATTTAATCCTATATTAAATCAAAGTCGAGCATAATATTATCTAAAAGAAGATAATGTAATTTAATAAAACAAATCAAACTAAAATACTTGAAAACTTCTCCAAAAATATTAATAGGTCTACATAGGCTTGAAAACTAGCCAGTTTCAACTTGGTTGCGGCTTAGTTTTTCATTGTTATGACATCTGAAATTTGTGTTCCTTTTATTTTATGTGGTCCTATTTGAGCAATGATATTGCCCCAATTCTTTTCAGGGTACAGGGAGAATGATTTAAAAAAAATATGAAGTCCATCCTAGATCTGATTTCCGCTTTTGTTCCTTGACATATTGTTTCTGATTTAGCTCCCTGCTTTGTTGGTTCCGATCATCCTTAGAATACTTTGTTTCGTAAATGCCCTTTTGCAGATGGCAAAAGAGTTGGATGCGATATTAGACCAACCAGAAGCTGCTCATGCAAAAAGCTGTACCAGTAGTGATAATTTTGTATCATACCTTAAAGAAATTATCACTCCTATATATGATACTCTTGATGCTGTAAGTGATCCTTACAAGTATAAAATCAAATTTCAATACTCGTTTTTCACACCATTTAATATTTAGTATTAGTTTCCTGTCTTTAGGCTAACTGCTGTATAATATAACGTACTGTTAATTTATATTTCATGTGGCATAAACTATATTCCTTAGGATTGTTCATTATTTCATCTATTTCAGTTATGCACTTTACTCTTATATCTTAAATCAAATAATTTATTGAATATAAGAATTTTGTTAATTTCATTTTGTATGATGATATTTTGAAAACTCAATGATGAAAGTATGCTTTCAATACTATAATCATCTGTCTGTCTTTACAATCGCTGTTCTTCTGCTTTTTTGATATTCATATGCAAGTGTATAGATGGTAATTACATCCACATGCTTTAATGTGTTTTTTTATAAACTCTTACTGAATGGGTTTCATGATTTCGTTATAATTAAAGATGTTTTGCGGGGGATAATAATTCAACCTTTATCATGTGCAGCGAACACATGAAATTTTTGTTGGTTCCTTGACTACTTAAATGCCGTTGCCAGGTCCCAAGCCCTGGATGAGAAAAGTGGATGGCTATGTTAGATAGTCAACAACCAGCGTAAAACCATGGTTTAAAATTGCGCAATATGAGGCTCGCCTTTGCGCAATTCAAGTAAAAAACGCCTCGATATTTACGCCTCGAGTTCTTTGTATGAGGCTTGCGCCTCAACTTGGTTGAGGCCTGCCTCGCCTCATTGGCATGAGGCTTACGCCTCACGCCATATATATTAAAACTTAGATAAATCTTAAAGTAAATGCCCGACATTGGACTCTATAGGAGAGGAGGAAGGGGAGAGAACAGTTCAACATAATGATGATTCAAATGAAGAACCCCTTAGTGATGACAGTGCTGATGATTTTTGAGTTCTTATGTGATATGTCATTGCTATTTATTTTTGAAAATTTGAATTATATGTTAATGAAAAGAATACTGGTGTTTGGGAAAGATAGAGTTTTGAGTTGAAATATATTTCATGTTGTCTTATTATTGGGATATTTTGATTTCACTTCATATCTTATGCTTTTTTATGTTTTATATTATTCACTCATTAGCATATAAAAAAAATTATCATTTTATGTTTACGCAATCTTTTGATTTTGAGGCTTACGCTTCGCCTCACGAATGAAAAACGCCTCAATACCCGAATACGCAATTTTAAACATTGCGTAAAACATGTCGAATAATCATGACATGAATTCTTTAATACTTTATGTTAATGCTCGGGCCTTCTTTGAAAGCGACGCACTGTATGACCTGAATACAATGAGAAGTGTGCACCTGGGTGCAGTGCATCGACGTCCGAGTGTAGTGTTAAATAAACAAGGGTGCGGATGTGGGCAAAGAAGCCAGTCTATGAAAATAGAATTAGGATATGATCTTGGAATGTAGATTCCCTTACAAGAAAATTGATGAAATTAGTAGATATTATAGTACATAGGCATATAAATATTCTATGCATTTATGAAACTGAATGGGTTGGAGATTGATAGTTTATGATTTAAATTTTGGTATTCTGGTAGAAGTCGTACTAGAAATGATGTAAATGTGATTATAGATCACAAATTGAACGATAATGTTGTAACAATTGATAGAATTAGAGAAAAAATTATAACTTTGAAGATTATTGTTGATGCTAAGATTATAATTATTATAAGTGCTTAGACTGCTCAAATAGTTTTGGATTTGTGTTCAAAATTAAAATTTTGGAATGATTTAAAAATTAATACAAAAGATTTCTCTTGAAGAAATAGTTTTTATTAGATTAATTTTAAATGGACATGTTGGTAGAGTAGTAGATTTTAAAAGCATACATGATGGCTAGAGTTTGGAATGACCAATGATGGTGGTAAGACTTTATTATATTTTGATTTAGCTTTTGTTTTTGTAATTGCTAATATCTTTTTTTAAGAAAAGAGAAGCATCTCATCACTTATAAGAATGGATATAGTAAAATTCAGATTGATTGTTTTCTTATAAGAAAAATAGATCGTTTAGATTATAAAAATTGTAAAGTTATTCTGAGTGAATGTTTTTGTGCCAGTATAATTTATTAGTTTAAGACTTTAAGATGAAGGGATAAAATATGAAAAATAAAGTAAAACATTGTTCTAGGATTAGATGAGGGTATTTAAAGAACACAAATAAAATATTTTTGAAAGTAAGATTAGAGATCTTAAGATTTTTTTTGTGCATGAGGAAGCTAATTTTATGTGAGAAAAGTAGCTAGTGATATTAAGAATATTGCAAAGGATGTGCTTGAAATATCAAAGGAAAAAGCTCCAAATAGTAAAAATAGTTGGTAGTGGATTCAAAATATGCAAGAAGAGATATAAAATAAGAAGATTTGTTCTAAAAATGGATTTAGATGTAAAAACTCTGACAATTGGAAAAAGTATAAAGAGGTCTGTAAGGAGTCTAAGAAGCAATATGTAATGCAAGGAGTTTAGTTTTTAATGATTTATATAATATATTAGACACTAAAGAGGCAAAAGATATATGTATAAGTTAGCTAAACAAAGTGATAGGAGCAACAAAGATTTAATTCAAGTGCACTAAAGATGAAAATCGAAAAGTGCTTTTATTTGAAGAAAATTTTAAACTAAGGTGGATGAGATATTTTGCTAAACTTTTCAATGAAGATTGTGAGAAAACGATTGACTTTACTGATCTTAGCCCTCATGAAAATAAAGATTTTTATTTTTATCGGTGTATTAATAAAACTAAAGTTAGAGAGGCTTTAAAGAAAATGAGGTGTGAAAAAAATGTTGGACCTGATGATATTCCCATAGAGGTGTGAAAATACTTAGGTGATGAAAGAATTTCTTTGCTTAATAAAATTTTTAATATTATTTTGAAGACTAAAATGATGCCAGATGAATGAAGAATGAGTGTGTTGATTTCTATTTTTAAGAATAAATGTGATGCACATGATTTTACAAATTATAGAGGAATTAAGTTAATGTGCCATGTTTTAAAACTCTGGGAGAGAGTTATGGAGCATAGACTGTGTCGTGATACTAATATTTTTCAAAATCAATTTGGATGCATGCCTGGTAGGTCTACTGTTGAAGTTATACATATATTGTGAGGTTTGAAGGAGAAGTATAGAGAGAATAAGGGGATCTATAAATTATATATATTGATTTAGAGAAAGTATGTGATAAAGTTCAAAGAGAAATGCTATGGAGAGTTATAGAAAATGTAGGGGTTAATAATGTTTATATTCAAGTTATTAAGGATATGCATGTAGGAGCTGTTACTTGTGTCAAACACAAGGTGATTTGGCCAAATTTTTTCCTATTTTAGTTGGATTATATAAAGAATCAATTTTAAGCCCACATCTTTTTGCTTTAGTCATGGATGTGCTTATTAGATATTTGTAAGAGGATGTACCCTGGTATATGTTTTTTGTTGATGATATTCTTCTTGTTGATAAGACTAGATAGGGAGTTGAAGGTAAACTTGAATTATGAAGGTCAACCTTAGAGTCTAAGATTTTTGTTTGAGTAGATCTAAATTCAATACATGGAGTATAATTTTAGTAGTAATGGATCTAGTGGAGAGTTTTTGACTTTGGGCGATGAAGTTATTAATAAGAGTACATATTTTAGATATCTTTGGTCTATTTCTTAGAGTGATGGTGAATTAGATGGGGATATTAATATTAGAATTCAAATTGGATGGTTGAAGTGGAGGAATGCATCGAGCCTGTTGTGTGATAGAAAAGTACACCTCAAACTTTAGGGAAAATTTTATAAGATGGTGGTCGGACTTGCAATGCTTAATGGCACAAAATTTTGTCCATTAAAAGAGAAGCATAAAATTTTGTTCAATGTTGCAGAGATGATAATGTTTAGATGGATGAGTGGCTTTACTCTAAGAGAGAGAATTTAAAATGAGCATATCCGTGAAAAAGTTGGAGTAGCACCTATGGCAGGTAAGATTAGAGAGAGTGGCCTTAGATGTTTTGTTCACATACAATGCCGACCTTATAATTACTCATTTAGGAGAGTAGATGTATTAGATTTGGCTTATGTTAAGAAAGGTAGAGGTTGACCTAAAAATACTTGGTTAGAAAATATTAAAAATGACTTTTCTTTATTAGATTTAAATGAGAATTTGACTCTTAACAGGGCACAATGGAGAAAAAAGATTCATGTAGCCGATCCCACATAGTGGGATAAGGGCTTGATGTTGATGTTGTTGTTGTTGACTACTTGAATGATAATGTCTAAGGAATGTGATTGTTTTAACAGTGTGCTAACATTGATGTGACTGATTTTTGGTTCTTGTGTTGGAGTTAAATATATTGGACATTTGAGAAATCTCACGGTGTTCTGAATGTAATATAATTGTGATTTGACAATGGTTCTTGTTATGCAAATAAAGGCCATTTCATATATTTGCTTTTTCAGGTATTCAGCCGGTACTCGATTGGTCATAGCAGGTGAATTTGTACCCTGTGGCCCCATAAGGAGAACTCGCCTTTGAGGGTCTTTGAAACCTAATTCAGCAGAAGTTTCTCACTGCTATTTGTGGTAGAACGTTATCAATGATACTCATCATCTCAACTGCTGGAAGGTTCTTTTTTTTTTTAAGAGGGTGCTTGCTCGCCTCATTATAGTCAACTAATCATGGAGCCTACTATCACCGCAACCCGAACACACTCGCTTCCCACTCTGAAGCAATTTAAGGTTCCAACAAATGTCGTCAACGACTTTAGCGCGCTCGCCAGTCATTGCCCTCTCAGTTCAGTCCTTACTAACATACACACTCTTATTTTTCCTATTTACAATTGGGAATATGGAACTCGCCTTGAGATAGGGAAACAAGTGAGAGATGTAATCATCCATCAACTTAGCTAGATTGTGACATGTGTCTAAGAAAGCTTGTACCAAGAGTTATTAATCACTGTATTTTTTATTTTTTTATTGATTTAGTCTTTCCTATGGCCTTTCGATCCTTATAAACAAATGATGAAAAGGAACATTTTGGATCTTTTGGCATTTGATATAGAGATTTGAGCTAACATACAGTTTTTTATAAATTTTCTTTTCTGTCCAGTCTCACATAGGTTCTCAGTTCATCCCCCTTAGAACTAGCATGTTAGTAAGGTCTAGTATCACACTATAATAAACTTAGATCCAACCTCTTGAAAGCTACGGTGAGCGTGAATTGATGCTAGTGACTAGAAGATGGGTGCAACTTGACTAGCAGACTAACCCTGAATCATCAATGAACATGGATCCATACTTCAGAACTCGTCGCTACCCGTTGTAAATGGAAGAATGACCGACAAAAATGATCCAGGATGCCTTCGTAGGCCTACCATGACATGCACAAAAGAAGAGCACCTCAAAAGGATCATTTGACTTGGCAGTTCACTTTAGTAGGCCAAGGAGCAGACTACTAACCTCTTTGTTTATCCCAAATCCCACTCATACAGTGGTGAGTGATGAAGAATATAACCAGAGTAGAGTACCTGCCACCTTAACACGCTGAGAGTTTTGAGCTTGAGTTGACTAAGGCCTTTTCTAGGGAAATAGTAGAGGCAAGGCCACCTTTGAAGTTTATAGTACCACACCTAGAGTCCTATAGGGGTAGGATTGATCCAGTTGACCTTGTGGATACTTTTGAATCAATGACATCACTGCTAGACGTCAATGATGCTCTAAAATGCCAAATATTTTATGACTCGCATGCAGTCTGTCTGAGATGGTTTACTTGCTTGGTAGTAAGAGTTATTTATTTTTCCTTAGAATTTAAGAGGATGTTTGCAACTCAATTTATCAACGTCTAGAAGCCCCAAAAGAGCTCCCTAACTTCTCAAAATTAGGCAAAAATCAAGCTAGTCATTGAGAAGTCGAGGAATGCGGTAGAGTGGCCAAATTTTATTCATTCATCCGCCCCCGAGAACTTTTATCATGAATATAATTTTTGCTGCAATTTTCAATGGTTTGGGTGCTAGTTGGGTGTGTGATTCATTCGAATGCAGTTACAATTGTGACTAAGTTAATTCAGGAAAGTCATCTTTTTGCACTTATGTGAGGACTAACTTTTTTTTTTTTTGTAATTTTATTTGTTTATTTTCTTACATAATTCTTGGATTTCTACAATCATATTGTATTATCAATTGAATAAATTTTTTTATTCACTGACTGAGATTTTAGGGAATTGTTTTTAACATCTGGTGGCATCCTGTAGGAAAGATGAGGGTGGGGTATACCGGTATAGCCAGGAGTTTCATGTTTTATAGGTTTTCTTTATTGTTATCCTTATTATTATTATTATTAGTTTCATGAGAACTTTAAGTAAAATTTGGAGTGAGTATAAACCATATGAAAGAGGCTGAATGCTTGAGAAAATCAAGATGATGACATTATTAAGATTTACTTTTTATGCTGATTTTTTCATCAAGAACCCTTTTTGAACAATTGAGACTATCGGTGTGTTGAAGGTCGGTGTATTGAAGGCCAGGGTTATGGTGAATTTCTTGTATGTGATTTGTTTGGAAGAGTAGGATTCGACATAGAGGGAGAGCTAGGGAGATAAAGAAAACATGGGATTTTGTAAAATAGAAGAGTGATTGCACAAATGAATGGAGGTGGGAAGTAGATAGAAAGAAATCATGGGGAAACTCTATAAGGGAGAATCAATCCCTAGATGGGATGTTGAAAGATATCCTTTGTTTATTCTGTCTTTAACCATCTGATTTTCTATCCTCTAGTTACTATTTAAATTAATAGATGCTGAAAATTTTAAATTTGCCCTAACCATTTAAAAATGGCCAAACTAGTCCTATATGACAAATGACATTTAAAACATTAATAATTAACTTAAAAAGGTAAATATGGATGACCACATAATCCGTTAAATAATAATGGAAATACTTGCTCATGAACTAAGGTAGACTTGCTCTGCATCAACCACCCAGGTTCTGCTGTCAAGCAATCAGCGCGACCCCAAAGAATGATTGGTGACATAAGATTAATGGGGTGTGTGTGTGTGTGGGTGTGTGTGTGAAGAATAGGAATTTTGGAGCAACAGCATGCACAGGTGGCATGCCATACTTTGACATGCACTTTGCTTATAATGGTGATTTTTTTGTGCTTTTGGATGGATAAAAATTTGAAAGAGTGCTTAAATATCTTTCTCTATTATATTAAATTTAGGTATATATTTAAAGAACTTTTAATTGCAGGAGGTTAAAAGAAACAATAATGGAAAGGCTGCTCACTCAGCATGGAGGAACTATGACGATTTTAATGAATATTTTTGGTTTGTCCTTGTAAATAACCTTTCTTTTTCTTGTTAATTTCTTGCTGTTTACCTTTCTAATTTACTTGAGATTTATTTTGTACTGAACAATGTAGGTCACCATCCTGCTTTCATTTGGGCTGGCCAATGAAAAAGGATTCCTCATTTTTGTTGAAACCAAGCAAAAAGAAGAGGGTAATTCCTGCAACTTTACTTTCAGATTACTTATAAAATTGTTGCTTTCTTGAGTACTTGTTTCTAGTCTGCAGTCTAACAATAATTGTTTGCTGAGTTAATGCTGATTTTGTCTTATTTTCTGTTGCGAACTGAGCTCAACTTATTACCTTCTGATTTTATGCATGGGAAATTTTTTTCTTAAATTCTAGCTGTACCATACAACTTTGATGCACTTGGATCTTAGTTTTTTAAGTGAGTAATTTCTTCTTCCTAGCGGTGGAGCCAGGAATTATCTTTAGTCAGGGCACAATTTTTTTTTTCAAATATTCTCTTAATTTTTATCCAAACTTGGGCCAATGTTGTTAGTTAATTTTTTTTAATAATTATTATTTTAAAAAGGGAAAATATAAGATGAAAAAAATTGTTACTTATAATGCTTACTTGTTATATTCTAAAAAAGTTTAATAATTATTTCAATATCAATACAATTAAATATTTGTTTCTCAATGTAATGACTAAACTATCATTCATAAATTAATGCCCAATTCTGTTTCATAGCCGACTTTTTATAATAATCATAAAAAAAAAACCTGCTTCAACTTATAATATCCTAATATTAATAGAGTCAAATATTTATTTTAAACTAAATTCTAAAATTTTAAATATATCATAATAAAATTTTGATTATAATATTGTAATATAATTTATGTTTTATATAAAAATTAGAGTTATAAATAGATGATTAAAAATGATAAAAATCATAATTTAATTGCACTTCTATTTTAATAAATAATAAATAATAAAAAAAACTAGATAAAAATTTCAATATTTGTGTGTGTGTGTGTTGGGGTGGGGGGCGTGTTAATAGATGCATTGTAACTTTATGGGCACGTAAATGCAAAATTTTATTTATGGGGTTACCATAAGCTGATTGTTGTTTGATATTAATTTTCAAAGAATAGTTTTCATTATGTATCTTGTTGTTTGTGTTAGGTTAATTTGCCCATAAACATATGTTTTTTTTTTTATTTTTTTATTTTATAAATTTGCTCATGTCATGTTAAATAAATTATTTCTTAACAAATCCAATTTATTTAATTTGGGATGGAAGGTACTCTTGTTAAATCCCAGCCTCTCATTCCCATATTGATTCCACAGCTATGAATAGAGATTCATGGGAAGCCCACCTGAATCATTTTGAGTACCTTCCTTAGCTAGGCATATGATGTAGGAAGGATTATATTAAGGCAATTACTCATTATTCTGTAGTTATTTGTTTCTTTATTAAGACATCTTGTATAAATTTATAAATAGGAATTATGTTGTATAATAAAATTTAAGCTTTTTCCCTCTCAAACTTCTTGATTTCAACAACTCTCAACTCTATATTGATGACAAATATTTATGAAAGAAGATGACTGAAATAAATGAAAAAGAAGATTGTGAGTCATTGTACTCCATAGGACGATACAAGGAAGAGACCAATTTATTTTGATGATGACTCAGATAAAGATCCTCTTAGTAATGACAATGTAGATGATTTCTCAGTTGTCAACTATTTCAGTTTTCATTAGGAATTAAATGTGGATGAGTGAGGAGTTGCGAAATAAAGAATTTGGAGTTGAACTTAATATTATATAATACTTTTAGAATTCTTATATTTTATATTAATTTGCTCATGTAATATTTGGATTTTAATTTTATTTTACATAATTTATCACTTGACATTTTACGTCTTGTGCAATTTTTTGTTTCATATGTATGTCAATTTGTCACTTCATAGTTTAATAGAAAGTCAATATGTTATCCTTTAACATATTATTTGGATATTATATAGAAATTATTTTTAACATTTATTTTCACTTTACGCAATTTTTGATTTTGAGGCTTACGTCTCAAAACGTCTTGCGGCTTACGCCTTGCTCATGAATGAAAAATGCCTCAATTCCTAATTGCACAATTCTAAATCTTATTTAGGATTAAAGTTTTCTATTGTAACTAGAATGATCGGATGTATGTAATGAATTCACATATCACAAATCATTGAATAATCCGTCAACTTGCTTTTTAATTAAAAATGCAAATAATAAATATAAGAATTGAAACACAAATTATCATGCAATTATTAACTAAATCTTTAAGAAATTAATGAGAAGTTCAAATCAACTTGCAATTGCCATTTATTCACTGCAATTAGATCAAAGTAAGACATCTAAGCCTCACGATGATAAACGTAGATGAGTTCTCTCCAATTGCATATTTGCACTTATTTTACACTCAAAGGAATCACATATGTAATTTACACACTCATGGTTAAAAATTGGAAGAATAATTTTTTATTCCATCAAAGATCTAGATTATTAGATATGGATATCATAAGATCCATCCAGTCTGATTCCAAATAACTATTAGGTTCGCACTTGAACCTAATAAAAAAATCAGAAATTTAAAACAGCTGTATTCGCAATATTGACCATACATCCTGAACTCGTCACAAGCAGCTGCATGCAAATCCTGTAACAAACAATCCCACAAGTAGAGGTGGAAGATAAGCTTCCCAACAAATTCCCAATAGCAGCAGAGGCTACAATAGTTAAACTGGATGAATATCCATAGGAAAATCATTTCGACATGTATTTTTTTGATTCTGCATATTTAACCTACATTTGAAAGAAAGGCTGTAATTAGCTGAAACCCTCCACATTCTTTTGTGGAAAATAATTAAATTATATCAAGCTTTAGCATTTGTTGTGATGACTGGTTTAATAAAAAAACTCTTATGTATTTCAATATCTGATATTAGAGCCTAGTTTTTACCATGACGAGGTTGTTTTTGAGAGTTTAGAAAAATTCTATTTTCATCTATGCATTCATTGCAAGAAAGCATGTTTTTTCATGAAGGCACATTCATTAATGCAAATGTTCATCCTCAAGCGAAGGCACAAGGATAGGGTGCATCTGCGTTTATTTGTGTCTACATCTCTTTGCAAGAGCCTTTTTTATTTATTTTATTTTAGTTTAGTTTATTATTTTTGTTTTTAGTTTTGGCATCGAAGCTGAATGGAAGAGCACTTTAGCGAAGTGTATGCCTTTGATGTTCTCTTATGTATTTTATACGTGAATTAGGAAAATTTAAATGTCTCAAATAACGAGATAAGTTACTTTTATGGAAAATTTATGCATGTAAATCAAAGAAAATTTATCAAAGGTAAAGCAAATTCACAAACAGCAATCAATTACGAATTTAATTGATACACGAGGAAAACTAAATATCAATGAAATCTTGAAAACTCCAAGTTGAGCAGTGAAACCATAGAAAATTGCTTGTGCTAAATTGGAAGTACTAGACAGAAAATTATGTGTGGTTGTAGCACAGTGCATTTTGAACAAGAAATATAAATGAAATAAAATAGCTTTCTCTCGACTTCTAGTGGAAGGAACTTGTTTGTGTTTTTTGAAATGTGATTTGTTTATCCCATTGATAGCAGTCCATGCAAACATTAATTCAACCACTTATTTGCGATTTGTTTCTTTTGCACGCTGTTGCATGCTGCAACACTCTGGATGCTCATGCTGGCTATGCATGCAAGGTCATCTTGTTTTGAGTCACAAGAACCACAGCATATAGTTTAAAACCCATGCATAAGCTGACAAATATAGGTCATTATTATAACCATCATTATTCTCATCATCCATTTGCCATCAGACTTGTGGATCTTACTTCCCTAGACTCATATAGTGTGTGCTTACGCAGGTTTGATTCAGCGAAAGATATTCAAGATACTTCATAAGATCAGATGTTGTTGATTAAAAAAACTAACCCTACTAAGCTACTGGATTCCGAATAAATGATACTATATAGATTACCAGAGACTTGGATTGGAAATATACAATGCAAGGGCGTCGCTCGTCCAAAGATCTTTTAACAGGAAAGAAAATTGCTACAACAAGAATGTAATCATATATCCCACTAATTCCGGATATTCAACATTGTACACTAATTGGCAATTCTCCTACTGTCGACATGCATTTCTAGACCGAATGGGATTGCCATGTTCCAGGCGTAGTAGTTCCTTGTGCAGTTAACTCATTTTCCCTGGTACTCTCAACTGGTGCTAGCTCTGTTTGAAGCATATTTACCAGTAGAATTCCAGCCACCTGAACAATTTAAGGGAAAAGAGTTAGTTAATCAAATGTTCCATTAAAAAAAAAAACAACAACATTTTGGGAAAGAAAAACTGAGAACCTAGTTATAAAAAACACTGCAGATTTAGATTTCCTTCTAACAATGCTTTATGATGACTTGTCATCAGACGAATAATTTGTGGATTATGATAACATACGACAAAAAGATCTAAATATTGATTTCTTTAGTGTGGTCATAAACAATACAAATAAGTCTAACACTAGTTAGTAAGAATAAAAAAATGATATCCATAAAAATTTAGTTATTTGAAGTTGTTTTAAACTTTAATTTACATTTTTAATTTCTTATTAATTATTTCTAAGAGGAAGAGGATTGAGATACAAGAAATTGAAGATTGGGAGAACTTTGACATAAATGAAGATGAGGAAGGGGAGAAAGCTATTCATTATGATGATGACTAATAAAAGTCCTCCAAGTGATGAGAGTATTGAGGACTTGATGCAGGCAAACTAGAAAGAAAAGTCAAATTGGAGAACACTTGGACAATAGAAACCAAACTCGATTCAATCTAGATTGCAAACATCCAAACAAACACCAAAACAAACAAATAGTCGAACAAATGAAACAAAATTATAAATTAAAAACACTATCCTCAAAATGACTGGCAAGCGGTTTTCTCACATGCAACAAAAAGTAGGAAATATATGATAAAGTGCTTAGGGCTTGCAAACCAAGGGTCCCTCACAACAACAAGGTCCAACGTCCAACCAAACTTCTCCGGCAAATGTCTCCAAATCAGCCAACAAACACTTCCCAATAGCTCAAGAAGAATGATACAAGTGGAGTGGAATTTGCGTAGAGAAGAAGAGATTAGAAGCCAAGACGAAATAGAGAGGAGGAAGGGATATTTGGAGCAAGCTCTTAAGCTTTTCCAAGAGAAGAAACCCTAAGGTTTTTTGCAACTTATCTCAAGTTAATTAACAACCTCATCATGAAAAAATACCTCATATATATAGAAGAAAAAGAGGAGCGAACAGCCAACTTCCACCTCCAACCGAACCAATCAGGTAAGGGGAAGAGGAAGACCAGTAGGCAACACTAAACAGTTCCCAAAAAGACAGCAGAGGAATCGGGTAGAGGCAGCCACAGAAAAACAGCCAAGGAAGAAACCGAATAGACAACGCAGGAACCGGGAAGAGGCAGCCACGAGAAAGCAGTTAGGGAGGAAATCGAAAAGGCAACACAGGGGACCAGAACCAGCACCCAACAAATGGGAGGAGAACTAGTCACGGGAACAACACAAGGGAAAAATCGAAGGGACACAAGAAGGGGAAGAGGCAAGCTCCAACTCCACATAATGTGCTAAAAGAAGAAGAATACCTTTTCAAATTTATGAGCTAAGAAGTGTAATTATTCCTCAAAATAATGAGCTAGAACCAAGTAGAACCCAAGTTTTCAGCTCAAAACCAATACATCCAAAGCCCAACCCGAGAGGCAGCAAGCAGCCCAAAGAACAAAAGGACCCAAGAAGCTAGCATACCCAAGGCTTGCCATGTCCAAGCACATCCTACCATTATCATTGGATGTTCTTCATCATTGGATAGCATAAAAAAAAAACATAAAACACAACTATAATATTCAAATTACATCAAAACGAAAATATGCCAAAATATAAATGCCTCAGGACTATTGATTAGTTACTTGTTATGTGCTTAGTTGGATGTTGGATAGTAGGTCTGAGAGATAAGTTTATTGTGTTAAACTTATTTTCAATTGTTATGTTATTGTCTTTACTCCTTACTTCGATATCATATGTTAATTTGATGCTTGCATTACACTTTTACTTTGTGCAACTTGTTACTTGATACTTTACCCCATTTGTTACTTGATATTTGCCATTTTGTTACTTTTTACAGTGTTGAAATATTATTATGTTACTTTTTAATATATTAATATGTTATGATAATAACATATTACATCTTACTGGCAATTTGATTTATGCAATTTTTTAATTGAGTGATTTATGCCTCAAAACATCTCTAGGCTTATGCCTCACCTCATGGATGAAAAATGCTTCAGTATCAAATTGTACTATTTTAAACCTAGGTTGTAATTATTGGAATGGTTCTTGTTGGTTACTACTAATTATTCCAAAGAAACTGCTAATCTTGTTGCCATCCAACCTTTCTCTTAATAGAACAACATCAACTTGCAAGAACACACATGAAAATAATCAAGAATACAAACATTGACATCTTATATCACCTGCTCCAGATTTCAGTGTTGTTCTTAACTGCTATGATTTGGAATTTCTGCCGCCAGCTTGGAGGGAACTTCTCCTGTCATTGTTGCTGAAGCCTTCTTCCTGTTGGATTTCTGCAACCAGTTGGAATTTTCTCCACCTACATATGTAGAGGAATGCTAGCTGAATAGAAGTTTTCCGCCATTTGGCACTGCTTGGACAACCATTGAGCACCCTAATTAGCCGCTGGAATTAGTGAGCAAACTTCTGAAGATTAAGGGAGACCACCTAGGGGCTCCGGCGATCAATTGTGTTCACTTAGATCTCCTTTCATCCCCGCCTCTCCAATAATTGGTTAATCCACCTTAAAAAGAAGGAACACCTCTAAGCTATAATAACCTGAAAATAAACTCAACCGCGAAACCCCTTTCTCTCTATTGAGGAGGTGTATAATAGTCTAACTTCTCTTCTTAACTTCTAGACCCTCTTAATTTCTAAGCTACTTTTAGGAGGAAAGAAAAGAAAAATATGCCTATGCCCTATAAATATAATTAATTATGAAAAGTACCTCTCAAGATTAAATGCAATTTATACATTTATCAATGATATATTTATCAAGATAAAATCTTGCATTCATGCTTGGATTGCTTAAAGAAGTGCTTTCTACTTTCCATATACAAAGGAATTCTAGTGCATGTCTTAATATATTATTCTCTGAGGCGTATTCTTTAATATCTCTTGGGTCTTTCTTCTCTGAAATGTTAAGCTATTTTTGACTTGAATTTCTTTTTGACATTGAAAATTACTTCATGTCTTTTTTGTAAGGATAAAAATCGCTCTCATTTAATTTTCCATTGGGTCAGTCATAAGATTTTCCAAACCCTTGATACAAGGGATCCAAATGAAATTGCGTGCATGATATTTTCTAAGAAATGAGCAACAATGAGGAGTAGAGATTGAACACTTGACCTCATAGTTGGCAACTAGTATATGAATCACTAGGCTATTGTAACATGAAACATAAAGCAGTTGCAAGAATTGCGTAGAAATTATAAAAAGTTATTAAGCTTGCTAATTAAAATTGAATGCTTCACAAGAATAAATTCTAGGATTTCTTAGTTAAAGATCTTATAATAGCACGCAGTTACAATATAGAGTAGGGAGAAATTAAAATAAGATCGAAAATATGAAATGCTTAATTTGCCAATCACAAGAATCTGCTGGTTAACAATTAGATTGATCGCCTTGAGTTTCCCTCACTCATACTCTTGAGTATTTTCAGTGGAAGAATAATTTATACAATATTAACGATGCCACCACAAGACAGTAAGCACTTATGATATTACTCAATTAAGAGTTATTCGGAGAGGAGGTAGCTGGTGGATGTTGGAGGATTTGCCATTGAACGGGAAGTTGATGCTCGTCGATGGCGGTTGTCAAGGAAACAAAGATCCGATCGATGTAGTCTTCGACGGAGTCGTTGATCTCAAAATTGATGTCGAAGAAGGGCGAACAATGAACATCCCCTCGTGCTTGAGGGTCAAATAAGAATCCATGATCGTGCTCGAGATCATCCATGGACAGTGAAAGTTCTTCCAATTCCGGGAGGGGCTTAGGGTGGCGGCAGCTTGTATGGATAAAGAGGAGAGGAGGGATTGAAGAGAGGCTATGAGAATTTAAGAAATAAATCCCACAATTATTCTAGAGCGGGGTAATTAATTAGTGGAGTAAATGAGAGGAGAGAGCGGAGAGAATTCAAATTGAATTCCCAAAAAAGTGAGGGAGGGAGGGGTGGCCGGTCCTTTTGGAAGGGGGTGGGTGGGGGGTGAAGGAGAGGGGTGTTTTCGGCTAGGAGGGAGGAAGGAAAGGAAGGTGAAGGGGAAATCGAGAGCTCGGACACTTCCTGCGGCTGGCGGGAGTTGCTTTTGCCCTCACCTTGGGACTTCTTCTCTCTGGAGCTCTCAACACTCATGAGAACAAGAATGTAAAAATTTCTCATTAATCATCATCTTATAATAGCGGAGGCCTCCATATATAGGCCTCAAAATAAAAGAGACTCAAAGACTCAAATGCCCTCTAAGCTACAAAACAAACTAATCCCACCTAGGGGTACAATGTTAAAAACTAAAACATATGCACAAGAAATACATAAAATTATCATAAATAGAGACTCTTAATCGTAGCCGTCGATCTTCGATTCCTCCTATAATAGACGTGCCAGAATCTCATGCTGATGTCCTCATCATATTGTCTATCTTTGAGCATGACTTTTATTTATGTATATTAAATGTTGCCGTGCTAACACGTTTGCCTGCTCACGTTATTACTACTGACTAGCTGTAAATTATGAGCAATTGATCATGTTATTTTCTATTAATTTTTAAACTTGATTTCTTAAGCGTTGTAAAATTGTCATATTTTTAATTGCATGTAGTTGCTTGTTAGAACAATTTTTAAGTATTTATCTTATTTTCTGGAATTTTCTTGTTCATTATATATCTAATAATGTTGTAATATAGTTTTCTTAAACTTTTTCTATGCTTTTACAGACAGGAAAGAGCAGCTTTGTTGAACATCGAACATTTTTGCACTTGTATCGTAGTTTTCACAGGCTATGGATTTTTCTTTTCTTAATGTTTCAGGTTAAGAAGGAGACCTTGTCTTATTTCATACACTAGCATGCTATGATAAATGAAGTTTGATTTTCCACTTTTTTTGTTTGATTTTACAGGGGTTAACAATAATTGCATTTCGCAAGGGACGCATTAACCTGGACACTTTTAAGATAGTGCTTAGCGTTGGACCATCATTTTTTGTTCTGAACTTCATTGAGAGTAAGATTTTCTTTATGATTATATTTTGCTTGTTAATTAAAATCAAAGTATTGAATTTCCAGCATTTTAATATAATGCTTTTTTATGTACTGTTTGAGTTAGCATATGTTAGCATCACTAATATGGCATTTTCTTTGAAGGTTGTTTGGATGTTCTTTTGATGTATGGTGCTTATAGAACTGCTAGAAGATTTGCGCTATCAAGGGTTTTTATTAGGTTTACTTCATTTGGTTCCGTTTCTGCATTTGTAATGTACCTTTACTTGTAAGTGTTTATGCTTCAAAACAACTCTCTATAGCTTGTCCTATAAATCTATATCCAGATCTTTAACTTCAAACATCCTGCAGGAAGGTACTGGATGAAAGAAACAGTAAAAACTCGGATTCGACATACTTCCGGATTTTCATTCTTGTTCTGGGTGTTTATGTGGCCATCCGTGTGATATTTGCTCTAACAATCAAAATTCCAGCTTGTCACAGGATATCAAATGTGTCAGATCGTTGGCCATTTTTTCAGTTTTTCAAGTGGATTTACCAGGTGTTTATTTTGTCCGTTACAAATGCAAGCTATACCTTTTAAGTTTTTTCAAATGTAGCTCATCTCCTTTTATCTTTTTACATTTTAGGAGCGATACTTTGTCGGCCGTGGTCTTTATGAAAGGACAAGTGATTATGCCAGGTTATCGTTATATACTTTTCACAAATGCTTTTGGTTACTAGTTTGGCTATACGCATTTTGGCATAAATTTCTTGGAATGCATGTTTGTGTGTATTCGAGCATTTGTATACAATGCTCACTTCTCATTCTTAGTTTTTTTGTTGCATTCGTTTTTTGGATCTCCCCAACCATTCAGACTAGCACATCTTTGATTCTTTTTTTATTTCAACAGAATGACATAGCCTGGTAAAAGCACTGTAAAACAAATCAAATGTATTATTCATCGTATATCAACTTTATTATGTGTTATGGTCTTTAATGTATTACTATAATGCCATTTATTTTAAATTTTTTCTGAAGTACAATTTCTTTGGATATTAGTTTTAGTGTGGAGGTTCAAAATTCGCATAATGTTTCCCTTTTTGTAGAAGTTGGTTTAATGAATGCGCAATATTGAATCATGTTTCGTTCACTTTGCCATCAAACTGATACAGATTTGAAATACTGTACTTGTCGGAAGCGCAAATCATTTGTATTGTGATGAGAAAGGTGATGATTCAAGTGGGTGTTTTTTTTTTTTGTTTATTTTATTTCCATAGTTTTCTTAATTTTTCCTAACACCCTAATTTTCCCTAACACTCTTTTGAAAAACTTGAATTATGGAGGCCAACTTTAGAGTCTCAAGGTATTTGTTTGAGTGGATATAAAACCGAATATATAGAATATAATTTTTATAGTAATAGATCTAGTCCTAAGATTGTGACATTGGGTGACCAAGTCATTAAAAAGAGTGCACATTTTAGATGCTTGGGTTTCTTGTTCCAAGTAATGGTGAAATAGATGGGAATATTATTAGTAGAATTCAAGCTTGATGGTTGAAGTGGAGGAATGCATCAGGCTTATCATGTAATAGAAAATACCCCTCTAACTAAATCAGAAAGTTTATAAGATGTTGATGCAACCTGAAATGCTTTATGCTGCAGAATATTGGCCATTAAAAGAGAAACATAAAATTAAGTGTTGTAGAGATGTCGATGCTTAGGTGGATAGTGAAAATGCAAAATAAGTATATATGTGAAAAGGTTGGAGTAGCTCAAGTGATATATAAGATCAGAGAGATTAGCTTTGGATGGTTTGGTCACTAAAAATGTTGGGCTTCTAATGATCTTGTTAGGAGAGTAAATGTATTAGATCTGACCTACGTTAAGAAAGGTAGAGATAGACCTTAAAAGATCTAGTTAGAGAGTATTAAAAATGATATATTTTTTTAAAAATTAGATTTAAATGAGAATTTGTCTCTTAATAAAACACAATAGAGAAAATGATTCATATAGTCAACCCCACGTAGTGAGATTGTTAAATCGCAGCCGTCCCTTAGCTCTTGATCCCACGACCAGCATGGGGATCCATGGGAGGCTCTCCTGGATCATGCTGTTAAATCTTAGCCGTCCCTTGGCCCTTGATCCCACGAACTGCATGGAGATCCGTGGGAGGCTCACCTGAATCACGCCGATCTCCTTATTTATTTGGGTGACTGATTTAGGAAAGATTATATTAAGGTAATTATGCATGATTCTGTAGTTATTTGTTTCTTTATTAATACATCTTGTATAGATCTATAAATAGAGATAGTTTTTATAAAAGTAAGTCTTTTACCTCACCAATTCTTTGAATTTAATATGGTATCAGAGCCTTCATTTTCGTTGATGGAATTGTCTTTTTTTATTGTCATGCCTTGATGCCTTCATTGTCGGCCTTCCTTTCAGAAATGAAAGGGAGCAGGTTTCAGCTTGTTCGTTCATGTAAACATCCAATAGAGAGAAGCAAGAGTGCTTCATTCCGCGATCTTTGCATTCGATCGAGAGAGACAAAAGTCTTGTGCGTCTTGTCTAGAGGAGTTGAGCGTGAACCCCACAATCTCTGCATTCGATCGAGAGAGACGAACGTCTTATGCGTATTGTCTGGAGGACTCGAGTGTGCCATGCTGTCTATGCGTTCGATCGAGAGAGGTGAATGTCTCGTGAACCCCTCTCGCGTGCGTACGAACGAACATGAAGAGAGAGGCGTACGACCAGAAGTTTTGTGTGCGTGCTTGGGAAGAGCCAAACGCTTGGATCTTTGGTCTTGTGTGCACCTGCGAGGGATTGAGAGCTTGGACTCCTTATTGTCGTACATGCAACCTCTCTCGTGCACATATGGAACTTGTCGGGATACAAAAAGTTAAATTATATAAGATTTTAAGGGTTCCACTCGTTCGAACAGTTTGCAGCCATTGAGTCTCCATGCCATTAAAAGGTGTGCAAATGTTGCCTGATGATTTAGTGCTCGAGGATGGGGTCAAAAACGTTGGGAATAAGCTAGTGTCTCTCATTTATTCGATTTACAATAACTTTTGCTACTACTTGATAAAGTTGAAAACTTATTGTCAAGAATATAGCAATCTTCATGTTCTTCAATATTGACTGTTGTTCAGTCTGCTATGAAGGCATTGATTGCCAAGGATCTTATGGGTAACTTATACATGGATGTGAAAGTTTCCATTGCATTTTTATCTTAGTGAGATAACAAGAATAATAGCAGCAGATGCTCCATATGATGATGATATAATGAATGAGATATTTGGGCTGATTGTCGGAGCTTTCAAGATTTTGGATGAGATGTCAAGCCATTCATTTTCGAAGAGAGTTTCAATACTTGAAATTGTTGCAAAGGTACGATACTATGTTTTGATGTTAGATCTTGATTGTGATGATTTGATATTGGAAATGTTCTAGCATTTCCTGAAGACAATAAAGTCAAAGCATTCTGCTCCTTTATTCTCCTTAATGGAGACTGTCATGACACTTGTTTTGGAGGAGATTGAAAGTATTTTTGCACTGCTTTTATGTCTGTTGGATGGTGTGAAAGTTGTTGAAAATAATATATTGCACACAACCAAAAAGCTAGCTTAGAAAGTGTTTGTTAACTCTTCCTTGAATCTAAAGCTTTATTTGGCTAAATTATTTAATGGCAATGGTGCTATGTTAAGTGGTCACAACAAAATTATTGTTGCTGTACTTCAGGGGAAGCCTAACACTTCGATACAGAATGAAATGAATACCTATGGTGAAAATCAGGAAGCTGACCATAAATTATCTGAGCAATTCATTTTTGACGACTCCCTGTAGGGATCTGCACAACATAAGGTGAAATTTTTCATCTTGAAAAGAGTGTTCCTACTGTTAAGTTTTAAAATTGCGCAATTGGGTATTGAGGTATTTTTTATTCATGAGACGAGGCATTTTGAGGCATAAGCCTCAAAATCAAAAAATTGCATTAAGTCAAAATAAATGTTGAAAGTGATATTTTATATAATTCCCAAATAATATTTTAAAGGATGATATGTTACCGTTCTCTATTGAGTTATGAATTAACAAATTGACATACATATGAAATAAAAAATTGCACAATACGTAAAGTGACAATTGATAAATTGCATGAAATAGAATTGGAATTTAAATATTATAAGATCAAAATAATATTAAATATATTAATAACATAAAAGTATCATATAATATCAAGTTCAACTCTAAATTCCTTTATTCTCAGTTCCCTACTCATCCTCATTAAATTCCTCAAGAAAACTAAAATAGTTGATAAAAACTTAGATTTCATTTGCACTGTCATCACTAAGACGGTTTTTATTTGAGTTGTCATCATAACAACAAATTGGTCTCTCACCTCTCTCATCCTATGGAGTTCAATGTGTCCCAATTTACTTCTTTTTTGTTTATTTCAATTATCTTCCTCTTTCATAAATATTTTTTATTAATATAAAGATGAGATTAATACTCTTAATATAAATATGACATTAATACTCTTAAGATTATGAGTTCAAAGTATTAATAAAATAAAATATTGTTCTAAGATTAGATGGAGGTATTTAAAGAATACAAAATTTTTTTTTTTTAGAGTAAAATTCAATATCTTAAGATTTTGATTGTACATGAGGAAGTTAGTGTTATTTGAAAAAAATAACTAGTTATATTAAGAATGTTGCAAATGATGTGTTTGTAGTATCAAAAGAAAAAACTCTTAATAGTAAAATTAGTTGGCCGTGGAATCAAAATGTGTATGAAAAGATAAAAATAAGAAGTTTATTATAAATGTAAAAACTTGAAAAATTGGAAAATATATAAAGTGGTTCATATGGAGTCTAAGAAAGCAATATGAGATATGAAGAATTTATCTTTTAATGATTTATATGATTGATTAGATATTAAGGATGACAAAAAATGTATCTATAAGCTAGCCAAACAAAAAGATAGGAGAAGGATTTGGTTCAAATGAAGTGCATTAAGGATGAAGATCAAAAATCATTTTTATTAGATGAGGATATTTACAAAGGTGGATGCGATATTTTGATAAGCTTTTCAATGAAGATTGTGATTATATGATTGATTTTAATGACCTTAGCACCTTAAATGAAAATAGAGATATTTATTTTTTATTGGCGTATTAGTAAAATCAAAGTTAGAAAGAATTTAAAAAAATGAAGTGTGGAAAAGCTGTTGGACCTATTGATATTTTAATAGAGGTGTGAAAATGCTTAGAAGGTGCCAGATGAGTGGAGTGTATAGATTCCTATTTTTAAGAATAAAATAGTGTGCAAATTATAGAGGAATTAAATTAATGTATCATACTTTTAAACTGTGGGTGAGAGTTATTGAGTATATATTACGATGTGATACTAATGTTTCTCAAAATCAAATTGGATTCATGCCGGGTAGGTTTACTATGAAAGCCATACATTTTTGGAGAAGTTTGATCAAAAGTATACAAAGAATGAGGAGGATCTGTCTATCGGCATGTGATATTTATTGATTTAGAGAAAGATTATGATAAAGTTCCAAACAAGGGCTTTGGAGAGATTTAGAAAAGAAGGGGTTAATAATAATAATGCTTATCTTTAAGTCATTAATGATATATATGCAGGAGCTATTAGTTGTGTTTAAACACATTGTGGTTTGACCAAGTATTTTCCTATTTCAATTGGATTGCATCAAGGATCAGTTTTAAGCCCATATCTTTTTGCTTTAGTCATGAATGTTTTTGCTAGACATTTGCAAGAGGATATACCCTGGTCCCTAGTGTATGCTTTTTGCTGATCTTCTTTTTCTTGTTGATAAGACTAGAAAAGGAGTTGAAGGTCAATCGTAGAGTCTAAAGGTTTTCATTTGAGTAGATCTAAAACCGAATACATGGGGTATAATTTTAGTATTAATAGATCTAGTGGAGGGATGATGAAATACTTTGATGGAGAAAACAGATTCATGTAACCGATCCCACGTAATGGGTTAAAGGTTTGGTATTGTTGTTGTTGTTGTTTCTTTCCTCATGATAAAATTTGTAGTGATCGGTTGAACTTAATCCTTGATGTAAGCAACTCTGTCACATGTGGCATTGATATGTTCAATATGGAGTTGGGCTTATAAGTTCTTGAGCTATTTTTTACATCCGGATTTTTTTTCAATTGCTTTTAATTCAATTTTATCCTTGAAAATCTCGCAATGATGTTAGCATCGGTGTCCTACCCTTTGTCCTTCTTGTCATATCCGTGGTTATTCACAACTCCTTGTTTTGGAAGTGTCTCATATCAAGGGGTTCTTATATTTTCTTATTCTCAATGAATGTTACTCTAACAAATATGTATCACTATTTTTTATGCCATAATCATCTCATTCCGTAGGTACAAGGTCTTTCATTCCTTTCTCGGGGTTATGCTATTCCCTACTGTTTTCTTCAATATTTTATTGAAGTGACAAAAGCATCAGCATTTTCGCACCTTTAATTGAATTGCAGATATGTGGCTTTTTGGTTGGTGATATTTGCTTGCAAATTTACTTTTGCATACTATCTTCAGGTCAGGGATTTCCCTCTCTATATTTATCTTACTGTAAATTTTTTATTGATAATCTCTTTGAGGTGACAACTGCCATATTAATTTGCCAGAACTGGCAAATAACTGTTTAAAATTTCCCTATTGACGCAGTTTATTATGTAATCTTTCAGATTCACCCCCTTGTGGAACCGACGAAAATAATTGTAGGATTACAAGGGCTAACATACTCTTGGCATGATCTCGTCTCAAAGGGTTAGTGTTTTCTTTTCTCTTGCGGTATTGCTTATATGGTGGATTAGTCGTTAGTTTTCCACTGCTGTGGGCCGGTATAATATTTTTTTTATACAATTTTCATTTATTTGTCACTTATAATTTTATTTATTGTTTTCTCATTTATATGTGCTGCTTGCTTGTAGAAGTAAAGTTTTTATCTGCTAAGGGATATTTTTTTTTGGAATTGCAAGAAAGTTACTTAAAAGGCATTAATTTCCTTAATCACTAACAAGTTTGATTCTCTATTATTTGCAGGAAATAAAAACGCTTTAACGATCCTTAGTCTTTGGGCACCTGTGTTTGCAGTAAGTGTCTTTTGTTGCTGCCAAGATTCCATTTCTTACAACATTTCAAGGATGTTTTTGGTATTACCACGACTCATGCAGCTTTGGAAATTGGGTGGATGCCTAATTTCCTAAACTGGAAAAAAATATCTGTTGTGAGTTTTGTTGGCTAGATAATTGGCTCTTTGCATCATATTTAGGCTTGGTGCTTTTACACTGGGAGCCTACGTACCTTATAAGTGTTTCTTAAAGTTCATCAATTTCTGAATTTTAATCTGTTATTATACCTTATTTTCTGTAGATCTACCTTATGGATATTCATATATGGTACACTCTTTTGTCAGCCCTTGTTGGTGGTCTAATTGGTGCACGGGCTAGATTGGGGGAGGTGATAACATGTTTAGTCATTTCATCTTTATGAATAATGCTAATAGCTGTTATGATATAAGTTTGGTGTTTTCTCCTTCAACATCAGGCATGTTGTTTAACCGCTTTTGTTTTGAAGTTGCTTAACTTTTGCATCTCAATTTTATGATAGATTCGCTCAATTGAAATGCTTCAAAAGAGATTTGAGAGTTTTCCAGAAGCCTTTGTTAAAAATCTTGTTTCTGACCAATCAAGAAGGTTAACAATCTTTTATTTTTATTTTTACTATATTTCTACTTTATGTGCTATTTCATGCATTTGCAATTTTGATTTTCTAATCTTCTTTATTTTTGTTGAAGGATGCCCCTTCCTAGGCAATATGCTCAGGTGATATTATTTGTCCTTGGTCTCTATATTATTGGTGGTTAATTTCTATAATCAATTATTCTGTTGCAGTTCTTATGTTGCATTTCATTTTGACTGTAATGATAACCAGAAATGTCATGTCTGTATTTCTAGAAAGGTGACGGTATTTTCTAGAAAGGTGACGTTTGAGCATTTAGTGATATTACTAGAAGCCGGGAGATTCTATGAATCATATTTTATTCTTCGTTACTTTAATTTTCAATTATAGTATGTGTCATTGTATGTTTTGAACCTCTACAACATTTTATCTACAAACACACCTTTCTTTGTGTTTTGTCTTCTTTCCCTTTTGCCTTCTTATTTCTTGGATCATGTTTGATTTAGAGATGGGAATGTAGGATCTTCTTCATGATGGTGAAGATCTTCTTTAATAAATGCGATTGTGTTGATTTCAGTTGTCCACCTTGAGCATCCAAAGTTAGTGTTGATTGAGCGTTCCATTCCTACTAGGATAGCACACATCTTAAACATAATTATGCAACCAAGATCCAAACTTTATCCTTTTGCATTGCAACATTGCTCTATTAATGACTATCAAAGTGATGGAAATAGAAGGAGACAAGGTTTAAAATTGCGCAATTGGGTATTGAGGCATTTTTTTTGTTTGTGAGGCAAGGCGTAAGCCTCAAAATAAAAAAAAATTGCGTAAAATGAAAATAATGGTTAAAAGTGATTTTTTATATAATACTCAAATAATATGTTAAAGGATGACATATTAATTTTGTATTGACTATGAATTAATAAATTGTCATACATATGAATAAAAAAATTACACAATATGTAAAATGACAAGTGATAAATTGCATAAAGTTGGGAGGAAGTTGTTGCGGCTTGGGGGTTAATGAAGGCATGATTTATTTGAGGCTTTAGTTTAGGATTTATAGAAGTTTTAATTAAAAATAAATAAATAGGGTGAGGCTTATAAGCCTCACGTCAGCAAGGCAAGACGAGCCTCAAGGCGGATCTCATAAAAATGTTCGAGGTTTATGCCTCTAGGTTTTTTTCACTTGAATTGCGATGAGGCGGGCCTCATATTGCGCAATTTTAAACAATGGAAGGGGAAATGAGTGGGCCTCACATACTAGGACTTCCTCTTAATTCTAACCCTCACTTAGTTACTACAGTAGGAAATAGACCTAATAAGATTGCCTTTTTTCCCTAGAAGATTGATTAGGCAAACCCATATTCATTTATTCCATACAAAAGGGAGATACAAAAAGAGAAATTACAAGAAGATTCCAAAGTCACCATCGAAATATAGGAACTTCTATGTAATTTAGAAGCAAATTAACTTGACATTCAACAAAATAGAAGGTGTTCTTCCACTATCATACATTCCACTTCCATTAGCACCTTGTATTTCCCGATTTGTTAGTCTATAAATATTAAATAATTTCCCTTGACTTTCATGGGACTTTGAAATCCCAGGAGCATAGTTAACAAGTGCCTTATTGTCCTTATGCAGAATCCTCCCCATGCAGCATGTTCATCACCAAACATGACATTTTAAAGAATAAAGCATCTTCCTCCACCCTTATACATAAGTTTTGACTCTTAAATAATCTTATAATACAGGGATGATTCCACCAATATCTCTAATTAAACCACTATCAGCTTCTCTAATTAAACTATTATCAACTTCCTTAGTCCCTTTTAAAAAACCATCCGCTTTCAATTTAAATCCCTTAGGTAATTTCGTCCTCTCCATACTTATCAATAGAGAATAGTAGCAAGTATTATTTTCAACATTGCACAAAACATAAAACAATTATGTATAATTTATTAATAATTCAATAATATAAGAGAAAACATCCTAATACAAAATCCTTTATCAATGTCATAAAATTAACACCTGAGAATGCCTTAAATTCCATGTTCACATAGTATCAAAATTTTTCAGAAAGATAATACATTTCCACATGTGATCTTGCTTAATAGTTTGACTTGATTTTGACAATTTTTTTTTAAAAGTTAATTTATGACACTTTGGAATAGTACGTGATGCAGGACTACGTATAAATGCAACCAATTAATTAGGAATTTGGATAACTCTTGATTAGAATAACAGTAAAATAACCATTAGCATTTTAAAATAACGAATAAAACAAGAAAGAGGTCACACCCGCTTAGGCTAAATCACATATCCAGAGAGTTGTAAAATTTCAAAATAAATTAATAAATCACTTTATGCCGAGTAGTAGTATCAATACAATCCTTAATTTAACAATGAAAATTAATAAGCATAAAGTTGCACTCAAATCCTACGTTTACTAAGCTTAGCATGAGCAGTAGGAGTCGTCGTTCGTGACTACAATCAAATGCAAGAGAGTTAGATTCAAGAACGGTATTGAAAGGGGAGAAGAGAACCTCTTGTCAAGGAGCAGTGGAGATCCTCCACTCAACGCCTTCGAAATGCTCGTCGATTGCTTCCACTAGGGTGTTCAGAATGCGCTCTAGGTAGTCTTCGACGGTGTGATCGATCCTTGTATTAACTTCGAAGAAGGTTGATTGAAGAATATCGGTGAAACCGTCCTTGTCCCAGGTTAAGCTGTATTTAGTTTCTGGATCCGCCATTCATGGGAGCTAGGAACAAATCTCACTTCTTCTTATTAGTGTTCTTTAAATGTTGCCGAGAGAAAGAAGTTTCTCTTGCAATTGGAGAGGAAAGAGAGACAGGGCGAAAATCTGAAATAAGTTTCAGATTTTGTAAAGGTGGAGAGTTGATGAGGGAGAGAGGAGATTGGAGAGAGAGGGGAGGCTAGGGAGAGAGGGCCCGGCGATATCAAGAGGGGTGGGGATAGGGGAATTATTTCCTAATTCAAATATTTGATTTAGGAAATAATTAGGAATTGTGGGCTTTGGGAAAATTCGGCCAAGGAGGGAATTATGGATTAGAAATTATTTCCTAAATGGGGAGTTGGGATTAGGAAGTAATTTGAAAAGGATTTAATGAGGGAGGGCAAAGGAGGGCCGGCGGCATGCATGGGCAAGGGGGCAATTAATGAGAGCAATTATGACTTCTTAATTCTGATTTTGGGATTTAGGAAAGATTTAATTTAAATCCTCATGAATTTAAAATTCAAAATTAGATTTAAATTAGACACTTCCCTAATATAGAATAACTAAATTATGAAAGATTTTGAATTCAAGTTTAAGTGAATTTGAATTTCAAAATTATCCCAATTAGTCCTAATCCTAATTAGGAAACCAAAGGAGAAGGGAAAGTGGGAAGGGGGGCCGGCGGCAAGGTGGTTCGGGGTGAGGGTGTCCGGTGGCCTATGGGGGGAAGAAATTGTAGAGCTTGGTTAGGGGAAGATGTTGGTCGAAATTTGGAGGTGGAATTGGATGTAACGAAGACGAATAAAGGAGGTGGGAGGGGAAAGACGAAAGACAAAAGAGAAAACCACGAACCCGGCCATCTCCAAGGTTGGTGGGTGATCTGATCTCCCTCTCCTAGGGATTTCTCTAAAGTTCTCTCCAAGAACTCTCAAACGCTCTCAAACACAAGAGTGAGAAAATTTTCTTATAATCATTCATTACTCAGAAAATAGAACATTGGGCTATAAATAGCTTAATACATGAAACTCAAGAAATAAAAGACTAAAAGATCCTCGGGGCTTATATACGACACTCCTTCACTAGAAGGGTACAACGGGAAATGAAGGACATGAAATAAAACAAACAAACTACACGATATGAAAATAAAACAAACAAACTACACGTCATGAAAATAAAACAATACATGACACAATCAGAAATACAATGAATTGATCGTGGCCGTGATCGACGACCACATCTCTGGTAAACTTTCCATGATCTGATGTCCCCATCATTCTCCCATGGTGGGAGAAAACTTGACTCAGTTGAGTAAGTGTCTCTAGTGCTCTCGTAGATCTCTAGTGCATCTGGGTTAATCTGCTGCAACTCCTCGCGATCTAGCCACGTATCCTCTGACTCGGGCTTTCCTTTCCACCTGATCAAATACCTCATTCATCCACCTTCTCTTGTGGATATGATCTCATCACTTAGGATTGCATCCACCTGCTCTTCCATGGGTGGTTTAGGAATATCTGGTAGTGGAGGTAGGTTTGGGATCTCAAAGGTTGAGTTCACACAAGGCTGTTTTATAAGTGAATTTGGCGGGTTAAAATCATGACCTTCATATGCTACTAAGTCTTCTATTTTAAAAGAGGGATTTATATTGAAATCTAGAGGCAAATATACTACATATGCATTATCGTTAATTTTCTTAAGTATTTTTAAAGGTCCAACACTCTTGGCATGCAACTTCTTAACTGTTCCCAGCGGGAACCATTTCGGATGAATCCGCACCATCATGGAGTCACCAACCTCAAAAATTTTAAAGCGTCGTTTTAAATTTGCATGTAGTTTATATTCATTATTATTTCTTTCAATTTGTTGTACAATTTCCTTATGGAGTTCATGCAAATCAGATGCAAATGAAGATGCTGACTCAGAAATCCTAAACCTAGAACACATGGGTATCAGATCTAAAAGCTGTCTAGGTTTGAACCCGTATACAATTTCAGAAGGACTTATGCCCGTGGTTTGGTTGATGGAGTTATTATAAGCAAACTCAGTAGTAGGAAAAATAGATCCCAAACTCTATGTGCTCGCCAACCAAAGACCGCAACAGATTACCCAAACTCCTATTAACTATCTCGGTCTGACCACCAGTCTGTAGGTGAATTGCAGTTTGGTGCCCATGTTCATCCACAGGGTTTTCCAAAAATAACTGGCGAACTTCACATCCCTATCCGATATAATGGTTTATGGTAAACCATGTAAACGGACAACCTCATTGAAGTATAACTTCGCAATGTGAGAGGCATCAGATGTTTTGGAGCATGGAATGAAATGTGCCATTTTGAAAAATCGGTCAACTACCACACAAATGGCATCGTGCCCACGGAGTGTCTTGGGCAGGCCTAAAGATAAAG